GATGGACAGTTTGGTACTTCATGGGAGCAGGGTGGGACTCAGGATGCTCAGAGGAGCAGTGCAATTTCTCACCTTCCTCTCTTTGTTAGAACATGCCTCAGAGGAGGTCTTGGGGGTGGGGGGATTGTATTACCTGGCAGGATTAAGTAAACTCTGCACAGAGCTTGGCACATACTCAACACTAAATTAATGTTGGCTGTAGTGGTTACTGTGCTGGAGAGAGACAGCAATGGTTCTGCATAATTCAATGACCACTTTTCTGAGCCTTAATACCCTCATCTGTAAACTGGGGACAAGAATGCCCTCTGCACAGAGTTAGTACGGGGATTGATGCCATTACTTTGTGATGTTTGGAATGTAGTAAGGCCTGAAGAAATGTCATTTGCCTTTATCCCATCTTAATCCTGCTGGAGTGTATACACTCTAAAACCTACTTTAGAAGATTTCTGGGTCAAGTGTAGGGACTTGGAATTTAAGGCAAAGGTATTAATCAGCTATCAAGGTTCAGACATAGATGTTCCTTTGGTCTGTAGCCTCCTAAGAATCACATCCTATAGAATTTAAACAAAATTATGTAAACTTTCTAATACATGCCTGCGGGGAAAAATAACCTCAACTATATAGTAAAAGATGTGTAGAAGGAGATAATTAAAAACTGCTATATACTTCAATCAAAAGTAACTAGCTATTTTTAAAAGTATATGTAAAGTTTAAACATGTATATATGGCAAATAGACAAGCTAAACATTGGCCTATACCAATCTCTAGCATTCAATGCTTGTGATTTACCCATCAGGGATCGTCATCAGTCTTTAATCTGGTCCCTCAGAAGCAACAGCAGTCTCCTTGTATTCTAAAGTCCCAAAGGTACACTCAGAGATGCAAACCAAAATGTAATTTTCTCTCTGTTCCAAGTTGGTACACACCAAACTCAATGCTCCTGCCTCTGCCTATCATACCAGGCCACCTAAACTTGTCAGGAGGCTGACCTGCCTTAGGGAAGCAAAGATGGAATTCTTGTTCAATCCTCTTTGCTTATGCCTGATATAAGATCATGGATGTGAAGAACTTTCTGACCTATAAAAAGCTACACACACCAGTAATTATCATAGCATCATTAACATATGCTACTAGATGTAAGCAAATTCAACTTGAGAAGGACAAAAGCATGAAGAAATCAAATGGTGAGGGAAGAAGAGCCAGCAACTTAGGACAACTGAGGATGGCCAAACTTGTCCAGGAGTCATCAGCTTCAGGAGCTAAAAAAAAAAAAAAAAAAAAAAATTAAATAGAAGCAGCCATGAGATTAGAAATACACATCCCATCTAATGACCAGTCAGAGTCTTCTGGGGTGGGTGACTGCTTCAGGTATCACAAGTAACAGTGCAGGCCAATATGCCTTGAAGAGAGATGGCAAACAGGTTTGTCGCTGGGGCAACCCATTTCCAGTGCCTTCAAGGGAGATATTCTGGTCTGCGCTTCTAGCTGAGGAGATGCTAAAAATGAACTGTCTCCAGGATCTGGAAAGGCAGTGTCTTATGACACTGGGTCTCATGCGGCTCAGACATTGGTGGATTCTACTGGCTTTTATTGTGCAAATCCATCTGCAGGCAGTGTTGACAATGTGGCTGAGAGACTGTCCAAGCAGCCCTTCCTGGTCAGGCCAGTCCCAAGATGACACCATCCCCTCCCACAGATGCCTACTTATCCTGGCCTTTACCTACTACTGTCCCCAGCTGTATCGTGTTTTACTGAACCCCTTGGCCAGTGGTCAGCAAACTCATTAGTCAACAGAGCCAAATATCAACAGTACAAAGATTGAAATTTCTTTTGAGAGCCACATTTTTTCAACTTAAACTTCTTCTAAAGCCACTTCTTCAAAATAGACTCTCCCAGGCCGTGGTATTTTGTGGAAGAGCCACACACAAGGGGCCAAAAAGCTGCATGTTGCTCGCAAGCCACAGTTTGCCGACCACTGCCCTTAGCTATTGAGTTCTGATTTTATGCTACAAAAACAATGGTGAAGCGGCCCAAGGGCCTAGAGCAGAGAGCCTTGAGCCTGAATCTGAAGTCCGGGGTTGAGGTCCTGATGTTGCCATACACCAGCAAGGTGTTTCCCCGGGCCTGTTTTCTTCCAAGGTCTTCATTTCCTTATTCCTGCTAAGGCTAACAACATATGCCTGGCTGGCCTCCCAGGGCAGCTAGAGGGCTCAACCAAGGTGCTGCATTGAAGGTGCTTCTTTAGAGGAAGAGACTATAAACCCTGCAAACTGGGAGGATCCAAGATGGCTGCTGGGGTAGACATCTAGCCGAGGCAGCACACAACAATTTCAATGGAATACAACTAAGATGTAGAGTGGACATTGCCCAGAGCTACAGGTAGTCGACTGACTGAAAATTCTACAACAAGAAGGAAAGAGAAAACCAGAAGGAAAATCAGAGGAGCTGAAAAAAAAAAGCCTAAGGTACAGAGACATACTGCACGCGCGCCCGCGGAGAGGTCGCAGCCGGAGAGGAGGAGAGGGCGGGGTGCTGCCTTTCCTTCCTTAGCAGGAAGGAAATAAAACACCCAGCCTGGGCTGAACCCCCGAACCGGCAGCGCTAGCCCCCCGAACCGGCAGCGCTGAGCCCCAGTTATGGGCCAGACCCTGGGGACCCAGGCTCCGGCAGGAGGAGATGGGGCTGTGAGGTGGAAAAGCAGCGAAAAGCAGGACCCCCGGAGTCGCGCGCAGTGCGCGAGCAGAGGACTGAATGTTGACTCTGATGCTGGGTTACCCTAGCCGGAAGAAACAAGGCCTCCAGCGGCGCTGGGCCTCAGTCCGGACTGCTCCCAACCCCAGTTCTGGGCCAATCCCTGGGGACCCAGACTCAGGCAGAGGTAGAGTCCGGGAGAGCGGCAAAAGGCCGGGCCCCGGACTCGCCCAAACTGCAGCAGAGGACAGTCTGTTGACTCTGATGCTGGACTCCCCTAGCGGGAAGGAGAAAAAAAGCTCCGGGCTGGGGGAACGCGGTGGGGAGCAGGAGCCCCTGCCGGACGACGGCCAACCAGGAACCAGCAAGGAGTGGGGCGACGGGGCCCCTGGAGGGGGGTGCCCCTGAGCCTTCCACCGCTGAGTGCGCGCAATGGAGCCAAGGCCTGGGGTGGGGGTGGGGCTGCTTCCTGGGCGGCGCCGTCCCTGGCAACAGGCTGAAGCAGCGCAGGAGCCCACGGAGAACAAAGGGGTGCCACAGGCCAACCTGCTGAGCTCCCAGGACAAGGAGGAAGAAACCAAAGAAGTTCTCAATGTGAAGAAATCAAGTGAGAGCAAAAGATAGTAAAATTACTTAAGAAAGAATACAAAAAAGTTCTTGAAAAATCAAAGACTAAGTCAGAACTCAACTCAACAGCCAACATTGCAACATAAATGCGTTGTTTTTTTTTAAAAAAAAAAAAAAGAAAAAAAAAGGACAGAATGTTGGAACAGCGGCGGCCAGGCCTAGAGTGGCCAGGCACAAGGCAGTGGCAGCCAGGCCCGGAGAAGCAACGGGCAGGCCCCAGAGCAGCAGCAGCCAGAACCAGAGCATCAACAGCCAGCACTGGAGCAGCCAGACCTGGGGCAGTGGCAACCAGGCCTGAGGCGGAGGCGGCCAAGCCCAGGGTGGCCAGTCCAGGAACACCCAGACCCAGAGTGGCCAGGCCTGGAGAAGCCAGGCCCAGAGCAGCCGGGGTGGGAACAGCCAAACCCAGAACAGCAGTAGCCAAGCCCAGAGCATCCAGGCTGGGAGTACCCAGGCTCGGAGTGGCCGGGCCCGGGGCAGCCAGGCCCAGAGCAGCGGCTGCCAGGCTGGGAGCGGCCAGGCCCGGGGGAGCAGGCGGGTCGGGTGCGGCCAGGCCCGGAGCAGCGGCTGCCAGGCTGGGAGCGGCCAGGCCCGGGGGAGCAGGCGGGTCGGGTGCGGCCAGGCCCGGAGCAGCGGCTGCCAGGCTGGGAGCGGCCAGGCCCGGGGGAGCAGGCGGGTCGGGTGCGGCCAGGCCCGGAGCAGCGGCTGCCAGGCTGGGAGCGGCCAGGCCCGGGGGAGCAGGCGGGTCGGGTGCGGCCAGGCCCGGAGCAGTGGCTGCCAGGCTGGGAGCGGCCAGGCCCGGGGGAGCAGCCGGGTCGGGTGTGGCCAGGCCCGGAGCAGCGGCTGCCAGGCTGGGAGCAACCAGGCCCGGAGCAGCAGCAGCCAAGTCCAGAGCAACTAGGTCGGGAGCGGCAGTGACCAGACCCGGAGCAGCTGGTTGTGGAACGAACCAGAGCAACAGAGGCCAGGCCCTGAGCAGCCAGGCCCGGAACAGCTCGCTCCTCGCCTGCCCCTGCCCCACGGCTGCTTCTCAGACATGGCTGGAAACTTTCGTGGGAACTTGAGGGTCTGCTGAATCAAGTGATGAAGGCTTAGATCTGGATGAGTATAGGGCTGGGGTGTTGATCTGTGAGTGCCTTGGGTGGGGCCTGGATGAGGCTGGTGGACCTATTGGGAAATGTCTTTTGTGTGAAGTGTATCATTGGGCATGTGGAGGTATTATTGATTTGAGAAAATGCTAAGTAACTGATTTACTATCTGAAAAGGGATTTACTATTGGGGAAAGGGAGGGAAGAAGAGACTGAACATAAACTGCACCAATGGATGAGGACAATGGGGGATGGGGAGGGGGCAGAGGGTGGGGTGGGAACCTGGTGGAGGGGGGAAGAAATGAGGAACCTTTGTAATAATATGAACAATAAAGATTGATTTAAAAAAATATAAATAAATAAATAAAATAAAATAAAATAAACCCTGCAAACTGGAAGTGTTCCTTGGGAGGATCTTTCCACCTAAGACTTCAAAGTAGGGCATAGGTACAGAAGACTTGGGGCCTCCTGGACATACAGGTGAAGAGAGATAGCAGTGCCCTGGGTTGAGACTCAGAGAGAGAGAGAGATCAGGGCACATTTCTTCCCTCTAAATAACCTTGGCTGCTTGGCCTCTGGGGTACCAACACATACCTAGAAGAGCTTTTCATAGCATTTTCCACAGTGGATGGTGTCACGGTGAATGAAGATCTGATCCAGGAGCTCACCCATCGGTTTATTGCAAATCCCACACTGAAAGAAAAAGCAAGCCCAGAGGTCACCATATAAGTGAAGCAACATAAATGAGTGCAGTGGGGAGGGGGCACCTGACTAAGGTAGGCAGGCAGACACGGAGCAGAAGGCACACCTTGAACTTAAAAGCAAACAATTGAAAAATGGCAGAAAAGAGACACAAAACCAAACTAGAAATGAAACAACAAAACAAAAACTAGCAAGCAGGATGATTACCTAGTGGGTAGGAGCCTTGGTTTTATAACTAGGCCTGGGTTTGAGGCCTAAATCAACCAAGCAGGTCCTCAAATAACATGTTTTCTTTTTATTAATTTCTTTTTTGATTAAGGTATCACATATTTGTCCTCAACCCTCCATTCCAACCCCACCACACACACACTCATGCCCCCACCTCCTGATTGTCCTTGACTACTGGTTAGGCTCATATGTGTACACATAAGTTCTTTGGTTGATCTCTCCATTTTATCCCCACCCTCCCTTTGAAGTCCAACAGTCTGACCCATGGCTCCTTAACATTGATGAGATGCCTTAGGAACTTAATTCTTGTTTCTAATGATTGGACATCTAACTAATATAACATTTTAAAATACCAGCTGGCATTTTTACATTTAGAAAAAAAAGGGAGGACACTCATGCAAAGTGATCATGCATCTCCCCTATGGTTGGATTGTATGTGTTTTTTTCTTAATTTCTCAATATTTTCATTGATTTCAGAGAGGAAAGGAGAGGGGGAGAAAGACAAAAACATCAATGATGAGAGAGAATCATTGATCGTCCACCTCCCGCATGCTTCCCACTGGGGATCGAGCTTACAATCTGGGCCAACCGGAAATTGAATTGTAATCTCCTGGCCCACAGGCTGATGCTCAACCACTGAGCCACAACAGCCGGGCTTGGTTTGGTTATACATTAAAATTGGTTTAAGAATTTAACGTTATATGCTTAAAGTCGCAGAACCCATTGACAACATTAAGTGAGGACTCAATGTATTATCACTGTTTCTGTCATTTTAGTTGCCATGGACCAACACTTGAACCTTAACTTAGCCAACTAATGGTGCTGATCATTGTGGGGGTCACCTCCAGGAACACAGAAAAAATCAACAATCTGGCTTGCAACGTGCTTCACACTGTGAAGAACAGGGACACTAAAGAGTTATTATGATGCTTCAGCCATGAATGTCCTCCCTTTTTTTCTAAATGTAACAATACCAGATTGTATTTTAAAATGTTATATCAACCTGATAAAGCTAAGAAAAACCTACAATTAAGAATACTGACAGACTGGTATATACAAATGAGCTTGAGCAATGGGGTGACCTTTCCTGAGAGTCAGCAGAATGTAGTGACATAATGTTGATTTTGATGTCAGAACCAGGATTGCTAACCCTTGGTTCTGAGCAGCTCTGTGATCCTAGAAAAATAATTCCCTTTCCACACTGTGCTCACCTGACCTACCTTCCCAGAATCCCCCCAAAATATCAGGTCTCACCATTTTGCCGCACCTCCAACTTCCCCAGCTCTTATGTGAGCGCCAGCCAGTCAAGTTTAAAATCACTGCTCCTGGTTACCTCACAATCACTGCATGTTGCCCAGGACCAAACCAGAGAGGGTCAGACCTGCATTACCACCATTTGTCCACCATCCAGAACTGAAATATCATTGCTGACATGTATACATAAGGAACTGTTTAACACAGATTGGGTCTGAAAAGAACTTGTTGGCCCAGAAAGTAACTCGCTACAGACTGACTCATATGCCTTGCAGCATAACCATTATTGCTTGTCTCATTTTTTACTCTTATAAGTATATTTCCAGTAGGACATGATCTCACTCATCTAGGGGAAATGGTGAACAACATAGATAGATGAACAAGAACACACCCAGAGATAAGGAGCCATGGGTCAAACTGTTGGACCTCAAAGGGAGGGTGGGGATAAAGGGAAAAGATCAACCAAAGGACTTGTGTGCATACATATGAGCCTAACCAGTGGTCAAGGACAATAGGGAGGTGGAGGCATGAATGGGGAGGGATGGGGGATTGGAATGGGGGGTTGAGAACAAATATGTGATACCTTAATCAATAAAGAAATTAAAAATAAAGTTGCTCATCGAAGTCATAAATACATAAATAAATAAAAATAAAATAAAATCGCTGTTCCTCCATGTCTACTTCCCTGCACCTCCTCCCTCGCCTGTGGACCTCCTCTTCCTCTTCCTATTCCCTCTGTGCCAAGGGCCAGAAGGCAGCTGCCTTTGCTCATGTTCAGCCTCCTGGAAAATACCTCTGTGGGCCCCTTCACTCCAGACTCCAGACCCACCTCCCTCACAAAGCCTTTTCAGGGACTCCCAGCTACGCTAGCTGAGCCTTCCCCTAACACTAGCGCTGTGAGACTAACTGCATTGAGAGCTACTTATTTCTCAGGCTCCTGGAACTTTGTTATTTAACAGGAATGCTCTGGAATTAAGTACATAACCAGAAGTTGACAGCATCTTCTAGGAATTTTCACATGAGTCCAGGAATCAGGAAATGAAATGTTCTTTGTCAAACCATATGTAAAATAGGTTGAAAAATGTAATCCTACTTGGAGTCCACAGAACACAATTGGCCCTCAAATTATCTCCCTTTGTACCCTTATTGCAAAGATCTGCTGTCTTCTTGCACTGCTCCCCTATAAAACCAAGCACAGAAGAGAGTCTTCCAGATTCACTTTTTCCATTTCCACATGTCATGTCCTATTCTCTCATTAGCCCACTCTAGTCAGGCTTCGGTCCCCAACACTTATTCACTGCCTTGGACTTGGAAGCTCATTCAGCTCCCAGTTCTGCAAAGCCAATGGAGTGCAATCATACTGAGATTAAGCCTTCTAAGCCCTTAACACTCCCTAACTCTAGACAATGCTCTCAGCAGCTACACCCACTTCCTTACCTTAAAGCAATAGTCATGGCAGCAGATGCCAAGGTGTTCAAGGGTAATCTTTGGACAGTCTCTGATCTCTCGGTTGCAATAAGTACAGATTCCTCCGGATGTTCTGTGAGATGAAAAACAAGAACCTGGTGATCAGTCTGGCTTGCAGACTACTAATGTGATACAGTTACACCCTCTAGTTTGATAGAGCCAGGCCTAGGTTTGCTGCCAGTGTTCTCAGCCTGCCAACGTTTTCTGTGGTGTGCAATTGGCCACACAGCTCTGGGCCTGACTTAACCACTGTGGATCCTCACATTATTTTCATGCATCTTCATACTCACTATCAAATGTGCAGACACCCCGATGTGATTCTTATTCCAGTCAAATTTCTTCTCCCTGACTCTTGCCTAGCTTAACTGCTCCCCTCTAGAACAGGAAGATCCATGTCTTCTCCTACAGGAAGACATGTACCTATATGCCAAGCATGTCAAACTCGTGGCCCACAGGCTGCATGTAGCCCACAATGAATATTTTTGCAGCCCAGCCAATATAATGGCATGTAAGAAACAATTTAATAAAAATCCCATAACTTAATTTTTATAATATCCTGTTATGCAATGTAATTATTAATAATGAACTACAACATTCAGTAATGACTGATGACTATAATTGTGTTGCATTCATTTCCCTTATGTGCCTTACGCGCAGGCGCACCATTTCTCTCCACTCATACTAGCAGCGAATAGTTTAGCAGCCGATGGCCACGACTTTAATCTTGGACTGACTTGTTTGGTGTGTGCAATAGAAAATATTTCACTTTCAGAAAACAAGAAAAATGGGTTTATTTGTGTTATGCTTATTAATTTGTAGAGTTATTCAGTGTCTGGTAAGTTAATGTTCAAGAAAAATAATTTTTATTAAAATGTTCTATTATATTATGTTAACAATGAATCATTTATTTCAGCCCTTAATATTTAGCATGTCTCTATCGAAATAAACCTATGTTTCTACGAAAATTGAAGCTTTTGTTGTTTTGCAGCCCACATAAACTTCAACCTTGTTTATTTGGCCCATGTTAGTCTTTGAGTTTGACATGCTTGCTGTATGCCCTACGAGGCCACCTGTCTTGATGGCACTTCTGTTCATGCCCAGGACCACTGAGCCCTGCCTCTCAGACCATACACTTTTGGATCCCTGTAATACTTACTGTGTGACTTACAAAACATTATTTATTATTTCCAGACCTGTTTTCTTCACTGTGACTAGAGTAAACTGTATCTCTAAGATTCCTTGCTCCCCTATGCCAAGAATTGAAAAACAAGACTTCTTGCTCTGGCAAGGTGGTTCAACTGATTAAGTGTTGTCCTACACACCTAAAGGTTGCAGGTTTGATTCCTGCCCAGAACACATTCCTAGGTTGTGGGTTCAATCCCCAGTTGGAGTGTGTACGGAAGGCAACCAATCAATATTTTCTCTCTCATCCATGTTTTTCTCTCTCTCCAAAATGAATTAAAAAATTAAAAAAGAAAAGAAAAACAGTACTATTTTTTTCATTAAGACCATTCCAAGACTGCTGTCTAGTGACAGCTTTTGAAACTGCTGAATGAGCTGCTCTCTGCACCTTCATTCATTTCAAATGAGTGGTTCTTTCTGACTCTTTTCTGGATTCTTGATGAGAGCAACCCACGTTTCTTCATTTCCCACTCACCACTCTCTCTTATAGTTCTTTTCCTTCTAGTCAGATTTGCAAGTTCATGAAGTGATCAATTAAGTTCTAATGCCAAGGGCCTCCCCTGCTGACAGGAGCCCCTTTGGGCTTTCAGACACCACCATGTCCTTTCTCAGAAGCCCTTTGTGTCCACCCTCCAGTCTTAGCTGAAGGCTTTAGGTAACACTAGTGTGACATCCCTATAAGGGATGCACAGTGATGTGAAAGATCTGAAAGTGGACCAGAAGCAGTAAAACAGGAGACAAAAGCAATCAGACTTATTGTGGAAATCTCCCTCAACTGTTTCTTCTCTGTAGACCTGCGAGCTCCCTGGTAAGACAGCAGACTCACCTCTCAGAGTATGGCATGCTGTCATATGTGGGTTTCTTCTCCATGTTGAAGGAGTCCTCAGTATTGCTGATGCTGCAGGGGGTGGTAAGGGAAGAGGACAGAAGAAAATGAGAGCCAGGGAACTACCACAGTCATGAGTGGGGATACTTTTCTCATTAGCACAGTTGAGACATGATTCTGCATGGCCAGCTATCATCTGTTATGCAAAATGTCATAAGAAGCTTTAAACTTGGCACCAAGGAGGCGTAGTTCTCTTGGAGAAAAGCCCTTGCATGGAGGGGAAAGAGGATCTGTCATGGTGAAGCATGGCTCTGATTCTTGAGGCTGTGTATACCATGAGCCCCCCCCCCCGCCCATTCCACTGACCAGTGGGAAAAGAGCAGGGTTTTTCTCCCCACATAGTGTGTGAGTTGTTATGTGACAGTCACCAGGAGCCCACTCACAGCAGACATTAGACACTACAGATGGGAACAAAGAAAACATTCCGACATACATCTGTGTTTGGGTCACAGGAAGTGAGATCCCCCCCCCCTTTTTCATAATCATTTTTCAATAACAAGACTTTTTATAATACAAACTAATGGTTAAAAGATAAAACCATTGCAGGGAAGGACTACTAACTACAAGCCCTGCGGGATGCTTAGTGTAGCTGCCAATCTCACAGGAGTCATATAATAACCCCCTGAGGTAGTCAGGAAAACTGACTCAGAGGGTAAATGACCTGCCTAAGGTCACACCCAAAAGAAGGGGTGAGCTAGAGTTTCAGCCCAGACTCTAATTTCTTCTGAGAACTAAGCTTATCTCAGAGCCTTCTGAGGAAAAAGGGGAAAACACACTGGACCGGACAATTCTCACTATCCAGTCAAGAAATCCACTGGCTTGTCCATTTTGACTAGATATTAAATTAAATTTTAAAATTAATTCAATTGTCAGAGTGTAAGAAATAAATTTAGCAGAATGGTGGGGCTGGGAGAAGGAAAACTAAAAGAAGGGGCAAAGTTCAGTCAAATGACACTCAAAGAGGCAGATGCTAGATGGCCAGGGCAGCTCCCTTGGGGGTGCTTGAGATTTTACATACATTCTTTCTAAACTCAAAGCCTCTCTGAACAAAGCAATAGAGATAGAAAATTGATCAGTGATGGCTAGGGGCTGTGTGGCTGGTGGTGTGGAGAGTTGCTAACGGGTACAGGATTTCCTTCTGGGGTAATGAAAATGCTCACGGAGAACTGGATAGTGCTAATGGTTACACAACATTGTACATGTACTAAAACAACACTGGACTCTGCATTTTAAAAAGTGAAATTTATTATATGTAAGTTATGTCTCAATAAAGCTGGTGAGAAAAACCACCCTAAGGGGTTGCAGATGAAGTAACTGAGGCTCATAAAGTTGAGTATTTTGTCCAAGATAATTTAGCCACTGGGGGTTGAGGTGGGGCTTGAACATGACGCCCATGCCCATTGTCATCATTTCGTAGCACCAGTGAAAACTGGTTCAGAATCCCTAGATGCCCAATCCTTAAATAAGACCAGGTTGCTTCTCTGTTTCTAAAATCCTCACCCTAGCAGTGACGTGATATGTCATAAAGAAATATTCCCGGAGGGGGGGATGCAGTCTCAGTATAGGTTATTTTCTTTGATGTGGCACAGGAGAAACCCTCACATGGCTTCAGGAAACAAGAAGATGAAGAGATGATGAGTAAAAAGTTACATACATATCAGGACCTACAGTCAAATGCATGTTCAAATGAGGCAACTTGGCATGCAGAAAAGATTGTGTAATCTGAAGAGAGAATCTTTATGTTCTAGAGCAAGATGAAATTCACTACATTGTCTTATAAGGCCCCGCCACTTCTGTAAAGAGTGATACTCTCAGTATTTCAGAAAAGAAAGTTTGGAGTCTACCAAGAAACAAAGACAGGCAGAAATGGATGGCACTGGAAGTGGGGTGTAAGGTGAATTAATGACAAAGGGGAAACACAAAGGCACTGAGGTAGTAAGAACAGCTAGAAATGCATAAATTATGTCCATAGGCAATTATATTATTTATCCATTCAATACATGATTACATAGAAGTTACTCTTGGATGAGGTACTGGGGATGCAGGAATGAGGACAACACAGGGCCCCATGGGAGAAGGCCATGGCATGAAAGTTTCAGGGACTTGCTCTTACCTGCTGTAACGTGGAGACACCAGCTTCCCGGAAGATACCTCACTAGCATTCATGTATTCCTTCACAAAGAGAATCCCTTTGCTGTAGAAGGAGCACAGCAGAACAGAAAGAGGTATACTGGGCTCTGGCTAGGTAGCTCAGTTGGCTAGAGCATCATCCCAATACACCAAGGTTATGGGTTCAATCTCCAGTCAGGGCACATACAAAAGTCAACCAATGAATGCATAAATAAGTAGAACAACAAATAAATGTCTAAAAATCTCTCTCTCTCTCTCTCTCTCTCTCTCTCTCTCTCTCTCTCTCTCTCTTGCGCGCTCTCTCTCTCTCTCTGTCAAAATCAATTTAAAATTTAAGAAAAATAAATAAAAAAAGAGCCAAAATTGGTTTGGCTCAGTGGATAGAGCGCTGATTTGTGGACTGAAAGGTCCCAGGTTTGATTCTGGTTAAGGGCTTGTACATTGGTTGTGGGCACATTCCCGGTAGGGGGTGTGCAGGAGGCAACTGGTCAATGACTCTCTCTCGTCGATGTTTCTAACTCTCTATCCCTCTCCCTTCCTCTCTGTGAAAAATCAATAAAATATATTTTAAAATAAAAGAAAGAGGTATACTGAAAGACTGCAGGGGACTAGGCCTGGCCCCAAGGAGGGGTTCAGGGCTCGGAGGACTTCTAGCTGGTTTGAAGAAAGCAAAGGATAATGGGAAGGCCTGGGGGCAGAGATGCAGGTGTGCCCCAGCTGCCACTGGGCAAGGAAAGTGGCGAGCGGAAGCTGCTGGACTGCTGAGCCTACTGGGAACTCAGGCTGAAATCATGGGTTTGGCTTTCTGTGTGTAGATGTGAGAGCCCCAGAAAGAACATCCCTGCAGCCAGTCGTGGTATGTTGTCCTACTTCATACAGATCTCAATACTACCAGAGCTCCCCAACCCACTCCCTGCGCCCCTCCCTGCAGACTTCAGTGCAGTGGCCTGCCCACCTCTCCTCTGTGACTGCACTTTCTTCCTCTTCTACTAGGACCAGGAGAGTCTCCAAGCCACAATCCTAGACTTGGTCCTCTCCACTCTCTATGAATAGACATCAGCAATCTAACCTCTCTCTTGTCACTCACAGAGCTCCAGGGTCCCAGAAGTCACCTCATGTTGGCTAGGCCCCTGGCGACATTGGAAACAAGGTCTGCCTCATGCTGGGCTCACCATGGTTTCCAATGTAGTCCCATTTCTGTGTCTGATGTCAGCAGAAGCCCCTCTGATCCCCCCCCACACACACACACACAAACCTCACTCGGACTCTCTGCACTGGTTCCCTTCCTACACTCTAAGTTTGTAGATGTGGCCAGAAACGCACACGAGGTAGTGAGTGTGCACCTCTCCTTATGATGGATAATGTGAGGGAGACAGACATATGCCCTGGCTTCCATGGGCTTTCTTTGGCCTTTCCATGAATGTCCCCCAAGAGCCATCAGCAAGATTCTACGGATGGCAGAGCTCTAGGAAGTAGCACCTTAGTCTTTCACTGGGATAGGTCCTGGGGCTGCGCTATGTGGCCCCTTAACCAATGGCCGCTAGGAGTTGGGAGAGGCACTAGAGCTAATGGGAGAGAAGTGACATGGGATAAAAGTCCAGTCCTTTAGCTCCATGGAGGAAACAGCCCAGAGAACATGTCCCAGGTCGTCCCTTCTTACCTGGTTGAGCTGGAGTCCAATTCACTTGGGGAGGCTGGGATGTAAACATGAGGCTGCTCGGCGGCAGCAGTGACTGTAACGGTGACCATACAGCTAGAGGGGTTTCTCACCCTGAAAGAAACAGAGGGAAGATGAGTGTGTCCGTACTGAGAGCTGATATCAGAATTTTTAAATCCCAGTCCCCTGACTGCCACCTCAAGTTTTTTATTTTTTTTAATTGATGTTTTTAAAATAACCCTTGCAAATCACTGAGTTTTTGCTCTTCCAGACTCCTGAGGTCGATAGGTGGTATCACTAACTTTACAAGTGAGAAAACCCAAAGCAAGGTGACCCAGGTCACACCGTGAATCAGTGGCAAGACTCCAATCTTCCAGTAACCACACAAAATTCTACTGTAGCCAAGTGTCTTGGCCTGTGGCTTACTTGGTTAGGGCACATCATGGGGGTACTAGAGACTTGATACTCAATCATCCACTCATTGGGTTGGAAAGCCCCTTCCTAAGATCAGCTTCCCTTCCCCAGTGAACTTTCCAATGAATACAAGGCTGATGGTGAGAGACACATGAGTTTAAGTATCACCAAGGAAGAGACTTGGATGCAGTTAATTCTGGAAGGCACTGCTCATGAGCAGAGATAGGAAACTGACAGGTAGAATGATTTTTTCTGAGTCGCCATCTTTCAGCTGCAATACACAGCCCTTGGCCTGGAATCTGACCTCCTAACCAGTTTACAAGGCCTTTCTCTGGCCAGGTTCTTACTTACTCTCACTCTGCCTGCTCTCAGGTCACCTATTGCAAGTCAGGGCATCCTGTTTGGCACCACCACTGGCACCACTGCCCCATACGTGCCACCTGTATCACATTTGCCCCTTCTCCAGCAGCCTCAGGCCAGCTCTATGGGTGCACACTGCCCTGGACTGATTTTGGTTTCTCTCCAACATGCGGCTCCAGATCATGTTCTGGATGTGGTTTGCCTCCGCTTGGCCTAGGCTCTGGGGCATCACAACCTTGCCAGAGAATCCAGTGCTCAAGACCTCAACTAGTTTAAGAGTGGGGAGGGGAAAAACAATCATGATCTAGCACCTGCCTGGCTCTCCAGCCACATTATCCCAAATGATGTCATGTGTACCTGAACCTCTAGCCATACTGAATGAGCTCTCTCATGCCTTTGCACTTAACACCACCTTCTCTTTCAGGAAGCCCTTCTGGGGTACCTAGTCTCTCATCCCAGGCCTCAATGTACCCACTCTGTGCCTATTCCTACATCACTTCTATGACACAGGAATGCATAATCGAAACTGAAGGATGTAGACTGGCTGAGAGGGAAAGCCCCATGGGAACCTGGAAAGACAAGGGATAAAATACAGAACCAGAGAAAGATAAAAGCCTCAATACAAATGGACCCGGCACATGCTCTCTCTCTGGGGAGCAGCCTGTGCCATTCACTCTTCCATCTTCTTCCCCCTCTTTTTACCCCACAGGTGTGACTTTCCTAACCTCTAAGGGTCCCCAGGAGACTTGCACCCAGGGGAGCAATGGGCACCAGCAGCTTGTTCTAGGCTAACCCCCTGAATCTATTCCTAAGGACCTCTTTTCTCTGACTTCCCAAAGAGCTAAGCTCTCTTGCTGCTTCTTCCATGCTAAGCTCTTCCTTGTTTCACTGGTCCCAGTGTTAATAAGCAATGCCTGGACTTGTGTTGTAAAATTTTCCCCACACAAAGCCAAGCTGGCTATAGACAGATCTGTTGAGGGCCAGGTCCTCTATCCAGTAGCAGTATGCTGTGTGCTCCCTGAGAACAGGCAGGCAGGGTCCTATACATCTTGTTCAATGTGTATATGGCCAGTCTAGCTGGCTCACATGAGGCTATTCCCTACTCATGGCCACTACTGGAAAAGACCTCTAGGGAGCAAAGGGAGCATCCAAATGCTGTCATTCAAGACCAAACTGGTGGTGATGGCAGTGGAAGACTTCATTGAACTTCCGCTATCTCTGGCAGGGAGTTCCATCCACACCAGAGCACACCCTCTTCTGAGAACTTTCATCTCCATGAATGGCAACGGCAACCCATATGCCTTTTCCAACCCAGGTATTCATGGCACAAATGACTTCCATATAATATGGTTCTGTGTGCCGGGCATGGTCTAACAGAGTTGATGCCATGGCTTCAAAATGAAGCCCATGGCCGAAGCCCGTTTGGCTCGGTGGTAGAGCGTTGGTCTGCGGACTGAAAGGTCCCAGGTTCGATTCTGGTCTAGGGCATGTACACTGGTTGAGGCGCATCCCCGGTGGGGGATGTGCAGGAGGCAGCTGGTCGATGTTTCTCTCTCCCTTTCTCTCTGTAAAAAATCAATAAAAAATATTTTTAAAAAATGAAACCCATGTAGACCGGCCCCTCAGATGCTCTTTGCCGGTCAGCTTCCCACTGGCTCCTAAGCGGTCACACCTGCAAAAGGTAACTGGCCTGCTCAGTGTGTCAGGGTTTGTTCTGGGGTTTGGAACTTGGCAAAATCCTGGCAATAGGAGCAGGAACCCAGCACAGTATACTTCTTACCTGCTGGCCTGGCTCTCCAATTCCATGAGCTGCTGGAGTCTCCTGGGGCTGGTCTGATGCTCTGGAGTGCTGGGGTCTTCAGGCTGCTGGGTAGGTGCAGCTTGGTCTCCCTGGCTACCTCTGGGGGCTGCAGGCTTCTCCTGCCAGGTCTCTCCCAGCTCGGTGACCACATTCTTCTCCTCAAAATCAGCCAAGGAGCTGAGGAAGAATGAGATGAGGAGTGAGTGTTGTGGGGCTAGTCCTTGCTCACCCACTGCAAGCTGAAGTCACTTCCTATGAGTATAGCGGCTCCTCTCCTGGAGGATGGAGCAGAAAGGAGCCCCAAACTGACCCCATATCAGGAAGCTGTTTGTATCTTCCTAAGAGGACCCTTTCCACTGACAAAGGCAGCATCCCCAAGAACACCTAGCAACTGACTTTAATGATATTTTAAAAGACAAAGTCTTTTCCTAGTTAGGAACAGTGGTATTCCTTTACCCCTCCTCCCACTGGGATCTCCCTTTCGCTAACCCAGTGGTTCTCAACCTCTCTAATGCTGCAATCCTTTAATACAGTTCCTCAGGTTGTGGTGACCCCCAACCATAAAATTATTTTTGTTGCTACTTCATAATTGTCATTTTGCTACTGTTATGAATCGTAATATAAATATCTGTGTTTTCTGATGGTCTTTTAAAAAATATATTTTATTGATTTTTTTACAGAGAGGAAGGGTTTTTACAGAGAGGAAGAGAAAGAGATAGAGAGTTAGAAACATCGATGAGAGAGAAACATCGATCAACTGCCTCCTGTACTCCCCGCAACCAAGGTACATGCCCTTGACCGGAATTGAACCTGGGACCCTTGAGTCTGCAGGCCGACACTCTATCCACTGAGCCAAACTGGTTTCTGCACCCGATGGTCTTTAGGCTCTACAGCAGTGGTTCTCAACTTCTTGACCCACAGGTTGAGAACTGCTAGCAGGGTCGCCTAAGACCATCAGAAAACACAGATATTTACATTACGATTCATAACAGTAGCAAAATTAGAGTTATGAAGTAGCAACAAAAATAATTTTACAGTTGGGGGTCACCATAACATGAGGAACTGTATTAAAGAGTCACAGGATTAGAAAGGTTGAGAACCACTGCTCTAAGTATTCCCTGTTCTAGTCCCTCTATCTTACTTAAAAGGTCCCAAGCCATATTTTATTCCCAGGCTCAGGTGCTCAGACAGGCATATGCAGCCAGGCCCTGCAAGCTCCCTCCTCCTCCAGCTCTTTGGGAAGAAGCTTGTCCCCAGGCTTCCCTGGCGGGCTGGATGGGGATATGGAGAGAGAACAGGGGGAAGAGCAATATAAGCTAAAAGGCTCCCAGACACCTGAGATAGACTGCCAAGCCCATTCGTGATCTTCGATTGCCATCTGGTGGCCAGGATGGGCAAAGCCGCAGAATAAGCCTTGCCAAAGATGATGTGGCTCAGGGCAGCCATTTTCTTTATTGAAGGTCGCATGTCCTGGGGGCACCATGGTACCAGCTCAGGGCTGCAAGAAATGGCAGACTGCACAGGCGCACACTCTCCGGCCAGGAAGCTAAGCACTTAGGAGGAAGGCACTTGAATAGTCAGGCGCAAAGGTATCGTGGCTGCTTTGTTTCTGAAGCCACTACTCCCTTGTCTTCTTTATTGGTAAATAGTCAATGCTATTATTACGGGGCAATAGCATTTTCTTCCCTTTTTTGGCAGACAAAAAAGCTGGGGTGAGGATCCTGTTGCCGCTCATAAATGGCGGTCACAACAGAACTTCACCTGCTCCCCATGGCTCAATCTGATCATGTACCTGCCTGTACACTTCTCATCTCTAGCATCCGGTTCAAAACACACAAAACTGCCTTTCTCAAGCTCATCAACCCCCCTTCCCTCTCAGCTGCTTCTTTTCTCTTTCAACAGCCAAACTTCTTGAAAGGGTTTTCTGCACTGTCTTGCCACTTCCTCATTCTCTTCTCACTGTCAACCTTTCACCAAACTTTCACCATTGCTTCCCAATATTCCAAACTATCTGGGCTCCTTACCCCCATGTGTCTACACCAATATGCTACTCTTTAAGGTCCCTGCCCCCATTTGAGGTTCCCCAGGATTTCAGGGACCCCAAAATCAACCATCTGAGGCTAAAAAACCTAATTGGAAAGGATCTGGATATTTTATCCAGGTAGATGAGCTTTGGAGACACCCCGACTTATATTTGCTTTATCTTTGGTCTCTCACCACAAATTTAGTCTACAGTCTCCATAAGATTACATTTCAGGGCAAAAAAAAAATCTTAAGCCTCCTCTACAAATATTAGGAGGAAGCTTTACTATTCATATTGAGCAGGTACCTCGACTTGTACCATCTCCCAGAAACACAATTATGATAAAAATATAATATCAACAAAGACAAGAACCAATGCTTATATAAACCAGTGCATTTTGTATTTCTGTGTTTATACCTGACTCCTGGCTGGAAAATTTAGAATTAAAGCCATAAGATCTCTATTACTTTTTGTCTGTATGTTTCGGTATATGTGTATGTTATACATGTGTAATATTTTCTTGACTCTAGATATTATTACCAAATTAGCTTAAGAAAATCCCTTATGTTTTATTCCAAATGACTTAGAGATAAATAAGCACTTAAATATTCCTAAAACTCCCATAAATTACAGAAACAATTTCTAAATAATTGGAATAAAAAAATAAAGGATTCTTATATAAAAAAAAAACACTATCCCAAATGTTTAAAAATTAAAGTTTAAAGGCTAGGTAAATCTCTGCCAAACAAGATGAGTTTAATATTGTTAGTTTAATTTTAAAAACAGCTATGTATTGTGAGTTGTAAATGTTATAGCTAACACAAGCATATATTTTTATTCTACTTGAGTATATTCTTCCTCAACTGTTTGAATACTAGCTTATTCAAACAGGCTTACTGTTTGAATAAGCTAGTATTACATCTACCAGATGTTTAAGATTACAAAAATATGAATTTTCTTTTAACCAAACTCATTATTTTGAAAACTTTATTTAAACAGTAATTATGTTTTATAATACATCACTTTTAAGACAATTTTCAATATCTTTTTGGTAATTTAAAACTCTAGGCATATGCTAAATTAAATGAATTAATATTTATCAAATACCTAAATCATTTTTAAGTAACATAAAATACTGACACTAACCCTATTTTTAAGCTTACATCCTTTTTGCTTATTTTTTTGAAGCACAGAGAGGTTGTATTTAGATCTATTAATAAATGTGTTCATTTGTCCATACTGTAAACTATACTATAAAATTATGTAACTATACATTTTATGAGATATTCACAAGCTTTACTAGCCTGCTAAGAAATGTTGTATATAACAGACAGTTCAAAATGATCTATCTCCTTGTTTGTTTGTTTTTCTATAAAATAGAAGTAATTAATTGTTAAATATTATAGTCAATATGTAGAAATGAGACTACTAAAAGTAATAATGGCAAAGAGGAACAACTCTGTATGCAAGAAAAGCAAACATGTTTTTGTTAAGGAAAAAGAGAATAGTTTTGTCCTAAATTAAAATAACTAGTGGTTCCAAAAACTATGTAAGACAAAATATAAATGGATATTTCTATAATTTCAAAAGATTCACAGAAAAGAAATTTTAATTGTCATGGTCAAAAGGAACTAACATTTAATAAGACTAGGATTTTCTCAAAAAATCTTATACTGATGCATAACTAAAATCTGGCTTTCTCTCCAAAACTTTCCTGGATTGCTGGTCTGACCTTAACAAAAGACCTTTATTTCCTTCTGAGTAATCTGTCTAAAAGGCAAAGTTTTTATGTCTTGCTAAACAAATGCCCTATTCTGTGTACTGACTACACCATGTCTTAAATTATTTTTAAAAGGCCTTTTAATTTTAAAGGAAATAAGAATCTTTAAAGTCATGTTCGCCTATGTTTTACTTGAAAATTTTTGTCACTTTGATTCAGTAGATAACTAAGTATTATTTCTCACTATCCTGTAATCTATTTAATCAAATGTCCAGAACTCCTGATAATATTTGACATTTTGCATTCCCTATACCAAATGTGAGATATCTTTCTCATTCTCTTCTCTCTAAAACTGACAGTGGGATTTCCCAGAGTACCCAAAGGGTTTATTTATTCTTTCGCCTTTTAACGAGAGGTGTGAAAAATAATAGATTTATTTAATATTCTGTAAATTTCATGAAATGCATTGTCCAGTCACACAGCCTCCCCCCATAATGCTGAGTCTTTCCTAAATTAAATTTTAATGCCACTGAACTATACACTTAAAATGGTTCAGATGGTAAATTTTGTTACATGTATTTTACAATTTAAAAAGACAACTTACTGGCTCCTCTTTGTCCTTTGGAGAAAGTCTAAGTCCTTGTTATGGCATAAGGATATGACCTTGCCCATCTGCCTGTGATCATATGACCTTTGTCGTTTATTAGATTGACATGCTGTGTCGGTTTCCCTGAGACTACTCCCAGGGTCAGTGATTCTCTAGGAGGACTCTAGAACTCAGCATATAGTTGTCCTCAAGACTAAGATATACTACTGTAAAAGGATACCAAACATAATTAACAAAATGAAAAGCCAGCGTTGTTAGTCACAGCCAAAGGTTTTTTTGTTTTGTTTTTTTTTTTTAAATATATTTTATTGATTTTGTACAGAGAGGAAGGGAGAGAGATACAGAGTTAGAAACATCGATGAGAGAGAGAGTCATCGATCACCTGCCTCTTGCACACCCCCTACTGGGGATATGCCAGCAACCAAGGTACATGCCCTTGACCAGAATCGAACCTGGGACCCTTCAGTCCCCAAGCCGACGCTCTATCCATTGAGCCAAACTGGTCCCCGGCCAGCCGAAGGTTTTGATTAAGGGCTGGTCATATAGGCACTTTCTGCCTGGCACCTACCCAAATTCCCAACTCCCATAAGGCAATCAGAGGTTCACCATAAAGCACATGGTTTGTACAGGCGATCTACGTCATTAGCCCAGTCTTTTATCATTTAGGAAAAGGTTCATATGCGTGTAAAGAACTGTCTACCTTTTCAAGTTCCCAGAGGTCAGCCAATAGGTCACCTTGCAAGCAGGCCTTTCTAAGGAGAGCAGTCTGAGGCTTCCTAGGTTAACTCTTGTCTGCACACGATCCAGCTAACATCACCTCCTCCATGGCTTTCTCATAATAAACTGCAGCCATATCAAATCATAGGGCACTCCCCAAACATATCACAATGTTACCTGTCTTCCTTCAAGCATAGGAGATTCTTCCTATTCCCGGACCCTTCCCTTCAACTCCTTGAAAACATTTTCAAGAGAAACATCTACAGTCACCTCTGTGAAGCCTTCTCTGATTCTGTGAGACCAGCTAAGTCACATGGTCCTTCTAGTATGCTGCCATACCCACAGGTAAACACTTACCACTGACCTCCTAAAGGGCAGTGACCGAGTCTTTTTTTGTCTGTAGTCCTAGTGCAGTATATGGCTTGGCAGGAGCTAGTAACTAAGTAAAAATTGGTTTAATTGTGGAATGTGTGATTCACTAATTCACAGAACAAATCAAGTTGTTCACATTACTCTGCTCATTCCTTCCCCTGCCTTCCAGCCTACATTTGCACTCAACCTTCCCTCCTGTCTCAGAGACACAGCCCTCTCTTTCCTGCTCAAGGCTCTAGAACCTGCCACACCCTGACCTCAGTGGCCCTTCACCTTCAAGTTTGCTCATCTCTCTTTGAACTGCAAACTCACCTCATCGAGCAGGTATTTCCTCCCCTGGGCACATAAGCTTCATTCTGTAGCTGTTTATCTGCTCACCCTTTCAACATCCATCATTTCATGGCCAATATTTTAGTTTTAGTTTTAAAAGATATTTGTATTGATTTCAGAGAGGAAGGGAGAGGGGGAGAGAGATAGAAACATCAATGATGAGAATCATTGATCAGCTGCCTCCTGCACACCCCACACTAGGGACTGAGCCCACAACCTGGGCATGTGCCCTGACCAGGAATTGAATTGGTGACTCTTGGTTCACAGTTCAATGCTTAATCACTGAACCACACTGGCCAGACCATGACCAACATTTTAGAGAGAGTTGTACACCTGTACCAACTGCACCCCATCTCCTTACTGACCAATCCCTCCTCAATCGACCCTAATCCAACCATAACATTTTATTCTCCCAACATGTCCTCCTCAAGGCAGCTATAAATTCTGTGTTGCTAAACCTGATGGGACTATCTGAAGGTCCACAGCACACAGGAAAGTTAGCTTAGCTTTGCTTGGTTTTCATGACTATCCTCTTGCTAGTTTCTTCCATTTATCCAAAACTGTCTTTTTCCTCAGCTCCTCTTCTTCTAGAAGACTCTTCAATATTGTTTTCAAGAATTTTGATCCATCCCTTTGCTTCTCTCTTGTTTTTTTAACCTTTCTTCTTTTTATATATTCGATTAAAGTTTTAGAAGGCCAATAATTATTATTCTCCCTTTTCTTTTCTTTTCTTTTTTAAAATATATTTTATTAATTTTTTACAGAGAGGAAGAGAGAGGGATAGAGAGTTAGAAACATCAATGAGAGAGAATCATCGATCAGCTGCCTCTTGCACACCCCCTACTATGGATGTGCCCGCAACCAAGGTACATGCCCTTGACCGGAATCGAACCTGGGACCTTTCAGTCCACAGACCAATGCTCTATCCACTCAGCCAAACCGGTTTCTGCCCTTTTCTTTTCTTTTTGAGACAAAAGAAAAGCAGAAAATGGAGATAAACGTCAGCTGGTGAAGCAAATAGCTTTACATATAGAGACAAAAAGGATGATTCCCCTTGCATTCCTGAATCACAAGGACTTACTCATCTAGCCAAGGGTCTGGCAAGATACTTGTGGAGAAAAGCATAGAATTCAAGGGGCACCTTCTGGGCTGTTCATATAAAGTCATGGATCACTGCCAGATACTTGTGGAGAAAAGCATAGAATTCAAGGGGCACCTTCTGGGCTGTACATATAAAGTCATCTGCTTCCAAAGACAGGGAGAACTCCAGGCCAAGCTTGGTCCTTAAAATCCCCAACGTGACAACCAAATAAGCCACTCCTTCCCAAGAGAACAGGAGGAAGAGAGACCAGTAGAATAAACAAAATGCCAGAGAAATGACATTCTACCCCGCTCCAGGTAATCTCATTTTCCAGGTAACAGCATTCATTGTCTAGCCTCAGATCTAATCTTCACTCATCTTCAGGCCTGTTTACTCATAGCCTATTGGACATCGTTGCCTGGATTCCCTACAGCCATTTCACATTCAACATAGTTGAAATGTCATGTGCATAATACTCTCACAACCTCGCCATAGGCCCTCAGCTAGGTCCTGTGGATATTTGGGGCCCACACCATCCACCTAGTTGCCAGACCCTGAAAATTTTAGAACAGCCTTGGCTACTACTTTCTCTCACCTTTCCCCTTAATAGAGCAACAAAACTTGTGACCTCATAACCTCTCCCTTGGGTGAGCAGATGTCTCCTAACTAGTCTCCTGAATAATCTTGCTTTATATCCCGGGGCCTGATCCCATACATGGCAGGTGGAAGGAATCTTCCTACAAATCACGCTGCTCTGGTCTGGTCTGGATCTTAGTCATCTCACTGTCCTTAAAGCTATCAGCGGCCCCTGGGGCATCAGAAGGTGAGTCATACTTCTTAGCCTAGGAATAGATGCCTGCTCAGCCCCCCTCAGCACTTCCCACCAAGCCACCGATTAACCCTTCCTCCACTGCCGCCGCCCTGGCTCTATCTTTCCTTCACAGCATGAGTACCTGGCAAAATCTTCTAGCTCCAACCTCATACCACCAGTAAAGAAAACCTCTCCTGACAATCCCGCACCCAACCAAAAATGAAACCCAATTGCCTCCTTCTTCATCTACAGCTTGCACTTTTTGCACCCCCTCTCACTAATTGGAACACTAAGTGGTGTAGGAAGCCAAATGACGTGGCAGGAAGTTCAAAGGTGTTTGATCAGTAACTTTGGTCTGGGTTCCTACAGGGCCTGGGGCCAAGGACAAGAAAAGGACAAAAACAAGTTGGATATTCTTAAATAAGAAAACCTTTTATTTAATAGATCAGTCTGGCCGTTAAAAAAAAAAAAAGTCTTCTATGAAATCTCTACAGTATAAGAACCTCAGTACCATGAGGATGGATGAACATTTTTTTTTTATCCTTGCAAGAGAAGCCACAAGTATCATCTACTGTCTCCTGGGGTTATAAGAATCTCAGCTCTCCCATGTCTGTCTTGTGTGAGAAACCGTTTGCTTGGTTTGGAAGTGATAAGAGCTTTCAATTGCTCTTTCTGGAATCTCCAACCAACATAAGCTCACTGGATCTTAACAATCTGTCAACATTTTTGTAAGCTGTATAGGTTATGAGGTATAGGGGCCAGCATTTCAGATGCTGTCAGGAGAGCACTGATTTGAACACTTCAACCCATACCACATGATCACCTCCAGTCACAGTCATAGTTGTCCTCTCACTGACACACACCAACACATTGCCAATCACAATACCACTGCCACCCTCAATGCCACTGTCACCCTCTCTAATGACTGCCTACTCATGCTCTTTCTTGCACTCTCACCGCTTCATCCTGTTACTTTCTCTCTCACTTACTACCATCCTCCTGTCAAGACACAAATAGCCTTCAACCTACTTTGGACCTCCAATATAAAGTGCATGTATACTGTGCCTCTCTATGCTGCTTCTACCAATAGTTCACACTTTAAGTATTAGCCAGGGCTTCTTATCTCTGAGGACAGGTACCCGCTCCCACAACAGGCCTCATCATAGCTCCTTGTACCAGGGAGTCACCATTCTAACCCCACACTGGGCACAAGGGTAGGCATCTGAGAGTGTGATATACCAGGCACTGGCATGAACAGGGGGGGGGTGCGCGGGGGGAAAGCAGGCTATGCCTGGGTCATGGAGCCTGACAAAATTCCAGCTTGGGCAGGAAGACCAGCATAGCGTTACCCTTACCTGCTGGCCTGGGTCTTCAAGTCCATTAACTGCTGGGGTCTTCTGGAGCTGCTATGATGCTCTGGAGTGCTCGCGTCTTCAGGTTGCTGGGTAGGTGCAGCTGAGTCTCTGTGGCCACCTCTGGGAGCTGCAGGCTTCTCCTGCCAGGACTCTCCCAGCTCGATGACCACATTCTTCTTCTCCTCAAAACCTGCCACGGACCTGAAAAAAAATGAGTGCCCTTATGGAGTAAATATTGTGGGACTAGTCCTTGCTCACCCAATGCACACTGATGTCACCTTCTGTGGACATAGCAGGCTTCTCTCCTTGAAAGTGGGGCAGAGGGGCGCCCAGCATGGCCTCCATATTGGGGAGAAACCTGTCTCCTCCTCAGGAGGACCCCAGCACTACTACTCCCTTCCTACAAAGGCCATCCCCACTTGTACCATCCTGAGCCTTTTATGCTTTTGCCACACCCCAAATTCAGCTGTCCCAGGCATGAACTCTTTGGGAAGTCTTCCTTCTTCTCTTGCCTCACATCACACCAACACTTGCACCTTCCATCACCATCTCATCCTAAGGTGCTTCCACTGGCTTTATTTTCTCAGCTGGTGCCTCCTCCAGAACCTCTATCCTGAGTGATGGTGCTGCTGCCTGGTGGCCTCCAGTGCCAAAAATGTCATATGCCCTCTAAACCAAAGGCAAAGACTAAACCAGGTTATTGAGAGCATAAGCTCAGCATTCCATAAAATGAAAACATAGTTCACTATCACCTCGATTCTGGCTCACTCTGAACCCAAACCTCCCAAAATTAGGAGTCTGCCTTTAATTGATGATGGGGTTACCTGAGGACAAGAAGACAGTACCACTAGCTACCTACAGCCCTAGGGCTCTTATGAAAGTTAATCCCATAGTAGGCAGGGTCTTCAAGCTAGAACGACTGCCTTCAAGCTAGAACGACTGGGAGCAATGACCATACTTTTTGCAGAGTATGCCCTGAAAGCAAAGGGACTCTTCAGCCTCAGGTGGAGGGAACCAAAGTACCCCAGCAGGAACGAACCAAATACCACCTCCATCTGTACCTGGAAGACCTGTAGGCAAGTGTGTACTGTGCCTTTCTATGCTGCTTCTACCTATGGTCTGCTGTAGCCCAGGCAGATATCAAAAATGGTCTGCTGCCGAAACTGGTTTGGCTCAGTGGATAGAACGTCAGTCTGCGGACTGAAAGGTCCCAGGTTCGATTCCTGTCAAGGGCGTGTACATTGGTTGTGGGCGCATCCCCGGTGTGTGTGTCGGGGGGGGGGGGGTGTGTGTGTAGGAGGCAGCTGGTCGATGCTTCTCTCATCGATGTTTCTAGCTCTCTACCCTCTCTCTTCCTCTATGTAAAAAATCAATTATATATATATATATATATATATATATATATATATATATATATATTTTAATGGTCTGCTTACATAATTCTAATCTTTTAGCCAGCAAGATTCCGGGATACATCCACTTCACTTTTGTCTGTGACATATATGCTTGAGCCAAAGGTAAACTTGGAAGGCCTAAAGAGTTTGTCTCCTGCCGAAACCGGTTTGGCTCAGTGGTAGAGCATCGGTCTGCGGACTGAAAGGTCCCGGGTTCGATTCCGGTCAAGGGCATGTACGTTGGTTGCGGGCACATCCCCAGTGGGGGGTGTGCAAGAGGCAGCTGGTCGGTGTTTCTCTCTCATCGACGTTTCTAGCTCTCTATCCCTCTCCCTTCCTCTCTGTAAAAAATCAATTAAAAAAAAATATATATAATTAGTTTGTCTCCTAACTCTGGGAGCCCTGAGCTAGCTTTACCATGGATTTAATCAGTCCTGTTCCATCCCACATCCTCTATAGAATTATGGTAATAGATGTTGTCCTCACCAAGTTTGTGAATAAAGCCAAGATTCTCTGCAAAGAGCAATTTTGGGGTCTGCTGTAATACAGGGACAAGTGGGTTAATAAGTCTCCTTCACCCTTAGCTTCAGAGAGGGGTTACTACAGTTATAGGAGGTATGATCCATCTGTCCATAAAAAGAAAATTTTAGTAAAAATGTCACAGGAAGCCTTGCTGAGCAATGTAATAGTCTAGAGGTCTTCCAGGCCCATGATGAATTATCTGCAAGTCAACCATTTAGAGATAGGCAAGTTAATAGTTCTGGCTGTAACAAGATCAAAGATCTAGTAGTCTAATACAGATAATACCAATTTTTGACACAGTAACACTCTGCATAGAAGAAAAAGCCCCTTTCAATAGCCTCTGCCACTGGTTAACAACAATAGTCCACAGTGAATAAATGTGCTTAGCTTAAAGTTCACCTGTCTTGATGCAGAAATATAAACCTGCAATGCCCAGATTGCAACATAACAGAGAGGAAAATAGCTTATGTTTTAGATATAAAACCTAAAAATAAAAGTTTAGTGGGGCTCTGGCCAGTGTCGCTCAGTTGGATGGACATCATCCCATGCAACAAAAGGTTGCCAGTTTCATTCCCTGTTGGGCCACACGCCTGGTTGCAGGCTTGATTCCCAGTATGAGGCATGCAGGAGGCAGTTGATTGATGATTCTCTTATCATTGATGTTTCTCTCTATCTCCTCCCCCAACCCATTCTGTCTAAAAAATAAATAAGATCTTTTTTTAAAAAAAACTCAGTAGGGGGACTATGAGCTACTCTGTATTAAGTGAAATCATGCCAATAAAGCTAGTAAAGGGCAGCAGAAGCCAATTTTCTGAGTGTTCTTTAATAATTACAATGGAAGGAAGTATTCTTCTGGGGTTGATTTGTTTAGCTTTAAGTTTTTATAAACTTTGTGGCAGGAAATGCTTTACACATTCAAACCCATTTAACCCTCACAACAACCCTGTGATAGGAACTATTATTATGTCTATTCTGCAGGTCAGGAAACTGGAGCACAGAGTTGATGAGCAAGATACCCAAGGCCATAAAGTGACAGAGCTTAAGATTGCTCATCACTGTGTTCTATTACCTCTTCCTGTACGTGTGATGAAGCAGGATCAAAGTTAGAATAGAGCAGAATTCCTCAAGTTTTAGACAATTTCACTATCCTGCAGATTCTCCCTGCCCACCCCATCAGCCTTCCTCACCAAACTTTTAAAAACTACGCCCTCCCTAAGGAATCCCAGAGCAGGTAGGTCCGCCTGGGCGTCCCCTGCAGGGTCAATGGTCCAGCTGCACTCCCCGCATGTCCACAGTCCCGGTCCCTGGACAGCTCTGAAGACTAGGGTCTAGTGTCATGGATGACTGACTCCAGGGCACCCTGCCAAATAGGATCAGGCCACAGGAGCCTCTTTTGGCTCCTCGTGGGCACCCACCTCCCTTCCTCTCTACCGCCCCCATAGAGACTGCAGCAGAAGGGGCTTCAACTGCAAGGACATTGGGAAGCTGTGTTCACCAGGCCAGCGGGGAAAGGGAGTGGGAGACCAGGAAGACCAGACCCATCGATGGTCCTCGCACGCCATCTGGCGGTCAGCGCGGGCACAGTCGCAAGAAAGAAGCACCCCGGAGGCCACTCTAGCACTGGGCAGCCATTTCGCTTTGTGGTCAATCGTATTTCCCTTTATGCACTGAGACCAGAACTTGACACTGCAGGAAATGGCGGCCCGCGCAGGCTTACAAACACTAGAAGGTGGTGCACATGCCAGGCGCAGGCGCTCAGTGCACGCTGGAGCTCAGAGCCCGCACATACATGCGCACATAGGATGGTCTCACGCTGGGGCACAGGCGCATGCTCTCTGGGCGCAGGTGCACGCACCACACGCACCGCACGCACCATACGCACCGCACGCACCATACGCACCGCACGCACCGTACGCACACACGCACGCACGCACGCCAGGCCCGGGCGCAGACGTGCAAGCTTGGGGGGGGGGGGCACAAAACAACAAGCATGTAACGAGCGGGGGGGGGGGGGGCTGGGGGCAGTGGGAAGATCTACAGGCGCAGGCGCAGGCGCAGGCGCAAGCGCAAGGGAATGCATGCTAAGGGTAGGTGTGCACTCCAGGAGCAGGCGCAGGTATGGTTGCTGAGGTGGAGTAGGGGCCTGCAGACAGACTGGGCGCAGGCGCAAAACGCAGGCGCAAACGCAGGCGCAAAGGTAGGCGCAAATGCAGGCGCAAACGCAGGCTCCTATGTGGGTGGAGGGTCAGGACCCGCAGGCGCAGGCTCACACGCTGAGGGGATGGAGTTGTACGGCGCATGCTCACAGAAAGGTCTCATGCATAACTAAATGCAAAATGCAGAAGCACACCCATTCTCACGTTTCTGCACTCCCTGCTCAGACCCTTGTTAGTTTCTCTCTGTGTCCACCCTTTTTTCTTCCCAATCCGGAATCTCCTGGCTCCCCATAGAGATCGTGAAAGCTCTAGAACCTTTGTCAACTTCACCACTATTGACGTTTTGTATTGGATAACTGTGTGTGGGCTGCCCTGTGCATTGTAGGACTTAGGACGGCATCCCTGGCCTCCACCCACTATTTGCCAGTATCACCCTCTTGGCAGCTGTGAGAATCCACAGAATCTGCAGACGCTGCCAAGTGACCCCTAGTGGGTAGGGAGGTATGGTGAGATGCCCCTGGTTCATAACCACTGCCCTACAACAATGGTTCTCACCTACACTGGACATGAGGGGCGGGAAACTGGGAGCTTTTAAAAAGATTAATGATGGAGTCCCACCTTGGAGCTCAGGAAGCTTTATTTAAAAAAAAAAAAAAATCCTGAGTGAGCCCTAGCCGTTTTGGCTCAGTGGCTGTTTTGGCTCAGTGGTTAGAGCATTGGCCTGCAGATGGAAGGGTCCTGGGTTTGATTCTGGCCTAGGGCATGTACCTCAGTTGCAGGCTCCTTCTTGGCCTGGGCCCTGGTCAGGGCTTGTGCAGGAGGCAACCAATCTATGTGTTTGTCTCACATCGATATTTCTCACTGTCTTTCCCTTGCTCTTTCAAAAATATCCTCAGGTGGGGATAAATAAATATAAAACACTGCCTGAGTGATTCTCAATTGCAGCCAGAATTGTGAAACACTGTATTCAAGAAAGTTTGTATTGACTTTGAAGAGTTTTATACATCAGAAGAAAGTAGTTCTCAGACTGGACTTTAGAGTTAGCCATATCTGAGCTCTGTTCCCAGCTCTGCTCCTCTTCCACTATTAAACTACTTCAGAAGCCAGATCCTTACCCAGGTTTGGGAAGTAGTAGGTGAGATCATGTATACAGAATGGTTTACATGTTAACCAGCTAAGAATTACTGGTTCCGCAGACCCAGAGTCAAGGAAGCATAGATCAGACTGTCGGACCTCAGAGGGAAGGTAGGGGAGGGTGGATATAAGGGGGAGAAATCAACCAAAGGACTTAGTGTACATGCATATGAGCCTAACCAGTGGTCACGGACAACAAGGGGGTGGGGGCATGCATGGGGAGGGGTTTGGGATGGGAATGGGGGGATGAGGACAAATATGTGATACCTTAATCAATAAAGAAATTTTTTTTTAAATAATTACTGGTTCTGGGCTTTGACTCCAAAGAAAATATTTTAAAAACTAGATTTTTAAAGTTTTCCCCCCTGAGGTTTTTCTTAGAGCCTCTTACATTGGGGCTCAGCTCTGCCACTTGCAAGCCCTTGGACAAATCTCAAACTGTCTATGCCTTCATTTCCCATCTTATCCATTTCACGGGGTTCCTGGGAATATTGTAAAGCAACTAGCAAAGCACACTATAGGTGTCAGTTATTGTTTTCACCCTATTGTCAGTGCAATTTGCAACAAAAAATGTCACATAATAAGGCCTAATACCTTAGGGATCCCTTGCCTACCCCACCCCCAGCATCCCAGTTTCACTGGAAGTCACTGCGATATGTTGTGAAAGTATAAATATGCTTTCACCTTTTAAAACACCTAAATTAGACCATGTTCCTCATTGGCTTAAACTTGAAATGAGATCCAACCTCTTTATCATGGCTCCATCTATGGACCCCTCACAGGCCAGGATCCAGCCATTCTATGCTTTGGATCATGCTGAGAACATTCCCACCACAGGGGTTTTTAGGTTTGTAGTTCTCTATATGCAGCTCTTTTGTCCTTTCTCTTCCTAGAGTTAGTTCCTTCTCCTCCTTAGAGGAGCTCCCCTGAGTTATCTCCATCTCTCTGCCCATCTAAACAGTAGCCCTCCTCATTGCCATCACTCTATCCCAGCACCCTGGATAATTCTTGGAGAGCACTGTTCTTCCCAGTGGGCACAGAGACCTGGGTTCCAAGCCTCTGTTCTTCATTATAATTAGGGGGAAATCTTACAGGATTGTGGGGAGGACTGCACGTGACACTGTGAGCAGTGGGCTGTGCACCAAGTATATGCCCAAAAGTTAAGTGTTGCAATCTTTAACAATATCTCGTATTGAAGCCTAATCACCCCAGGCTTACCTAAAAAAAAAATTCTGTTTCACCATTTCCCCTTCAAGGGCTCTCAGCGCCAGTCATACTCAACTACATACAGTGTCCAGGAAAGACCAGGTTGATTGGAGTCCTTTGTACACTGTTCCCTTGGCTCAGAGGACTCCTATTCATCTTTTAAGATTCAGCTCAAATGCCGCTTTCCCCATGAAGCCACTGTGCCTGCTCCCCTTCCCCTGCTCCAGTGTGAGATGTTCCTGTCTGGACCAGGCCTTGCCCTCCATCAACCATGCCTGATTTGTCTGTGTGCTTGGGCATTTGTTGTCCAAGTGGTTGCTGACTGAAAGAGTGGGTGACTTTCTGATTATGAAGGACTTCCTGGCTAAAGACAATGCAGTGTAGCAGAAGGCTCCATAGACCCAGAGGCAGAGGCCAGAGGTTTTCAGCTGGCGCTTCAGCCTTTGCCATGTGCCTTGGCCAGCTCATAGACCTCGCTGGCCTCACTTTCCATCCAAAGGCTAATGCAAACCTGAGCTAACTCTCTCCACCACAAAAGCTCAGCTCTTTTGGCTGGTGCCTTACCCCTTCAAATTTGCATTCATGTCCTCCAGGTCTGCTGGGCTGTTGCTCTTCCTGTTAGTTGGTACAGCAGAAGCCAAAGTAGCATCGGAGCTGAGGGAGGAAGCACACAGGCCCACTGAGGCCTCAGACCAAAGGAGAATGGGGGCTCAGGGCTTTCCTTTCCCAGCTGCCTTCTCACAGGAAATGTGATGCCTATACTTGTCAGTCATGGGTGGCATCTCATCCTGCCATTAGTGTGGCACAGAAGCCACGGTGAGCCCTGGCTGTTGCCTTAGCATCTGAGTTCAAGACAAAGCACTAGCCCTGACTAGTGTGGGAGTCCCTGAGGAAGTCTCCTGATTTTAGATTCTCATGTTCTTGTCTGATCTATACCTCTTGGAAATCCAGAAAGAGTGTCCCTTGCTAAGTGCTCCACATACCCACAGCAAAATGGCTACTCCCACAGGGAGATTGGTAGATGAAATAGTGTAGAAGCTTACAGCCTGGCAAGACACAGCCTCTTCTCATTGTACTTTCATGTCCCTGGGCCATGTGCCCTCCACAGCTGCCTCTTTCCATATGCTCCCTGGGATTCCTCCCCCTGGCCCTCCTTGCTGGTCCAGGCTGTAGTACCTATAGGAGAGGTTCTCTTGAGACTTACTATCATGGTCTCTTCCTAAGCTCTGCCTCCTGATGCACCCCTTCTGCTACCTCACCTCGAGTCCCTATGGGTAGGTGCTGGGCTGTCTGGGTCTCCTGACTTATCATTTGTCCTCCTGTTCCCACTGTCCCTGGTACCTGTGTTGAGCTACATGGCAAGGACCCTCCCAACCTTCCATTTCTTATGGTGATCACCTGATAGAGGGGTAGCATGGAGCTAAGCAAGTGTGAGGGGTATTCTGGGTCACTGGAGTTGAGGCTGAACCCTGAAGGTTATATCTGGCAATGCGGAATGGTCACCAGATAATCACCCGCCCTTACCTGGTGACCACTAGTCCAGGTTTGCGAGCTTGAGAGTTGGCACCATGCACATCATTGTCATCCAGGAGAGGCGTGAAGCCAGCAGCTGAGCACACCCTGTGGAAGGAGGTCAAGGTCAGTCTGGGTTCAGGACTTTGTGTCTGTATGTCTACTCTCTCCTGAGAGGGTGGCTTCTGACCCTGACAGATGATGAGAACTAAGGAGCTGCTCAAATGGATGTTCAGGGAATAATACTCATATCTCACAGCTGCCTGCCACCAGGTCAGTGAAGCCTAGTGGTTAAGTGTCCTCGAAGGCACCTTGTCCAAATTCAAATCACAGCTTTATTACCTCCCAACTGTATGATCTTGGATATATCATCTGATCTCTTTGGATCTTAGTTTTACCATCAATCAAATGGGGATAATAATTGTGTCTGCCTCACAAATTTTCTGAGAAGAGTAAATCAGTTAATACATGCCAGGTACTTAGAATAATGCTTGGGCCCTAGCATGTGCTAACGTGATCCTATTATTAATACTGAGTTCTGTGGCCATTTATATTCCATCTGTATCCATAAACTTGATACAGATTGAGTGGGTGCTCTCTAACCTGGCCTTCCCATGGGTTGGCCACATTCTCTGTCTTTCAGGCAAACTGACTCTCATGGAACACCAAGCAGTCACAGCTCTCAGGGCATCTTATCACCTGTGCAAGATTGCACCTTTCATTTATGTAGCACACTTAACTAAGAGTTCATGGTATCTGCTCCTAAACCTGTTCATGCCAGTTGTATTTGCAACCATAATCACTAAATTGGTAAGTAAACTAATGAGAAACAATCTTTTCTTTAGAAAGACAGTAAAGGCAAGTTTCTTAAAAATCAATATAGGTTAGACAATGTAAAAAGACTGGGTTAAAAATAATGGAAATCTAGAAGATTCTCCAGCTTATTTTAAAAGGTAATTTGAGGTTTGGCTTCATTTTAAGGAAACTGAAAGCAGAAAGCAAAATCTTCATTTTGTGAGGGTGTGGAAGCAAGAAGGATGATATGGATGAACATTCAAAAATGAAGCAGCCAAGAACCAGACATAATCACATTGGCCCGAAAATCTTCCATGACAGCCACTGGCCAATTTGCATGACTTACTGGTCAGCACAAAGTGATGCAGGCTGAAGGTGTTGGCTCTTTGCACAGTCCCCACAAGTGGCAGCTCAGAGAACCGAGGCCCTGGCCCAGTGGCCTTTCCTGGCACTTGCTGGGCACAGTGGTCAGACTGTCCTCTTCCCATGTTGGCCAGGGCTCCTGGACTTGGAAGCCGGGACTCTGGGTCCAAACATCAGTTGCAAACTATTCAAATTAGTGAAGGCAGAGGACCCTCAATGGGCTTAGGGAAGCAGGGGCATCTGAGGAAGCACTGGAGAAAGCAGTAGGCAGAAGGCATCCCTTAGGATGCCTTCCAAGGCCTGACTGCCCTAGGGCAGGGTGCTAGTGAGCAGCGTGCAGTCAGGCTCTCTGCAGACACTGGCTTTGCCAATCCTCTCTGGCCATCTCCTAAACCATAAAGGTTCTAGCACAGCTTGGAGCTGAACGATTGGTGCCATCATCTGCATACCTAACCTTTGTCAACTAGGATGACCCACTACCTGGGAACAGATGGGATTTGGAACTATCTGGGAACAGATGGGACCTTGTTACTCCCCAAATCACCTGAGAAAGTGGTCCCTGACCCTCTTCATGTCCAACAACTTAGGGCCCAGTTGAACATGCTTGTCTCCTAGTTAGTCTCACTGTGGAAGCTGTTTTTCCTCTCATTGAAGCTCAGTGCAGAGCTGGCCAAGGGATAAGAGTAGGGCAGGAAAAGGAGGTTTGTGGTCTTTTGGTAGGGAAGGGAGAAAACAGCTTCTAGTTTGTTCTTAGAACTTAGCCAATAAGCAAGAAGGTACCAAATTCATCCATCATTTGGTCATTTATCAGTTTGCCCCTTCACTCATTCTATTCACGTTCATTCTATCCACCAGTGCCCACCCAGGTAGGGCTAGACCTCCAGTTGTAAGTGGGCTCTTGTGCCTGCTTTTGAGGAGCTTGAGAGCCAGTGGCAGAGGGGATGAAAAGGAGGAATATTCAAGCACAAGAATTCCCAGAAGTGGAAATTCCAGGGACAAAGGATGTGGTAGTGGCTGAAGTGTTGGAGATGGGAGATGCAGTAGGGAAATGACCAGTGTTCCACCCCCAGCAGCCCAATAATTTTTAGCTGCTTGACCTTGGCCTGTCACCAGGGACATGAGACAATCAACAATTCTGGGCCACCTGCCTCCCCTGGGTAGCTCACCCTCCTCTCCCAGAGCTGATGTCTGCTCCAGCCAAGCCTTCAGGTGGGGAGCCTGTGGCTCTGGATCCCATGTTGCCATCCCTTGACTGTGCATTTGACCTGTTGTGGAAAGAGAAGCATTTGCTGACTCTTGATTGGGTTTTGATCTAATTTAACTCAGATGTCCTGAGAAGTGGGTCTCAAGGACCAGAACCTTGGGTCGTGGGCTACCAGCCTGCACAGCTCCAACTTAAACCAAATCAGTATGAGCAAATATTTCTGCTTTTCTTCCAAACCTTTTGGCTAGGAGGAGGAGTAAAGCCAAGAAATTCAGGAGGATGGTGGTTCAATGCATCTGGGGGTGGGGGAGGGTAGGGGGTGGACAATGGCTAACAGAAGCCACTTATAATTAAAATCATAGATCCCAAGTCAGAGACAAATCTCCCCTGCCCATTCTGGGTCCCCTATCCCTCATTCCAATGGCTAAGTCCCAGCTAACAGTGTGGGCTTCCATACTGAGAAGATGGTGGGCTCTTATACTTTAGTGGTCACCAGCTGCCTACTGAGTATATTCCCAACTCTCAGTTCACCACAACTGGCTTCCTCTGAATGGTAGTGGGACTATCCCCTCTTTACTCATCCCTTCTGGACTCACCATTCCTCATCAAGCCTTCACCTCCCTTTCTTGCTTCCTTTGTGCACAAATCATTCTAGAAGTCCCTTCTAGGTGCTTTGATGGGGTCCATACATCCTTTGGTCACTGACTATCCCATACTGATAGCCTGGCGGCCTTGCTTGCCCTGGCAGTTTGCAGGGATGCTTTCAATGGATTAAAAGCACAGTGAGGTTGGGCCAAGTGTGGAGTGGGAGTGGCCTGGCCTGAAGTTTGTCTTCCTGTGCAACTGGTTTCCTGAGGGGCTTTCCCCTCTCTAAGCTTCATGTAGTCCTTCATTCATTCTTCCCACAGATATTAACAGTGAACACAGTGAATAGGACAGATCTAGTCCCAGCTCCAACCATGGACCTTGGACTGGGGGCCACGTGGTCTCTATGTCCCTCCACTAAGTTACCTTTCAAAGTCTGAATTGGGGCCCTTAAAGGCCTCCTCACCAGCCAAATCTCTCTTGGGCTCTCTGGGACTGAGGGCTTCCCTGTCTTTGGAGTCTGGGGAAGACCTATAGAGGAAAGAAACATAAGTTAACCATCCAGAAGCCACCCACACTCAAGCGGAGGAAGTTACCTCATCTCCAAATGCCAGTTGTCTCCAAGGAGCTTAAAACCTGATATTGTAGGATCGGCCAATTCTCAAAATCTTATCTATACATATAAAGTGATAATATGCAAATTGTCCATTATGGTGTCCCAGTAACAACCAATTTGCATAATGGCAGACAAGCAGGAGGATGCACTCACAGCAGGGGATGGGCAGTGGGAGTCAAGTTCTCCGGAGTCTGAGGAGAGTGCCTGACAGGAGCCTGGACTGTAAAGAAGGAAGACAAAGCGGCCACAGGGAGCTCTTCCAATCCCCCTGCATGGACACTCTACCCCAGCCCCTGCACCCCTGGGGGGGAGGACAAACAGTCTACTCCAGCTCCTGTACTCCCTCTGCTGGGGCCAGGCACTCCTCTCCTCCCTATAACTCCAGACCCATGTGGAGGCAGGCCTGAGCACCACCCCCCCTCAGGGTCAGACCCTTTCTCCCAACAGCAGCACCGTCTCTGCAGTGGAAGCACGCTGAACCTGCTGAACCTCGCTGGGGGTGCAGCTAAACCTGCCCTCCTAGCCCATCTGGCTCCATCCTGGCCCAGCCCCCACCCTGCTCCAGAAGATTGGAGCCCTGACCTGAGCAGATACAGCTGCAAAACAGCCAAGTACAATTTAAAGAATGGTGCCAAGTGAGAAAGTTTGACAGTTACTCCCCCTTTGGCCTCGGTGCCCTCCCCCAGGACCCCCCTAACACTTCACCCCCCACCAGTGCCTCCAGGGACAACCACTGTTACAGGGCTGCTGGCCAGAGCCCACCCCTCTGAGGCCTGTGGCACCCTCTGGAAAGCTTAGATAGCTACAGTCCCAGGAAACAATCATACCCTCCTCCCTAATCAGCACCTGCTATCTGTGAGGGTACCTGTGGGTTTAAAAATAACAATCCCTTCCCATTTAGACATCACTTACTTGATTAAACATTTCTAGGTTTATTAGCTCAGAACCTCCTCATGACAACCCAGTGAGGTAGGCGGAGAAGACATTACAATTCCCATGGTATATGCGTATGTATTCAGAAATGAAGCTCAGAGAGGAAAAGTCTCAAGCCCAGTGGTTCCCAGTGGTTCACGGTGTGGGGGGGGGGGAAGGGGGAGGAGCAATTTGATTTTAAGTGGGGGCAATTCAAAAATGAGTTAACAGTGAATTTTTTGCATTTCTTATGGTTCTAGGGGGCTTCATCTACAGTGTATCCTACATAATAAAAGGCTAATATGCAAATGACCGAATGGTGGAATGGCCAGTCATTATGATGCGCACTGACCACCAGGGGGCAGACACTCAATGCAGGCACTGCCCCCTGGTGGTCAGTGTGCTCCCACAGGGGGAGCGCCATTCAGCCAGAAGCCGGGCTCATGGTTGGCGAGCATAGCAGCAGTTGTGGAAGCCTCTCCCACCTCAGTGGCAATGCTAAGGATGTCCGACTGATGGTTTAGGCCCACTAAGCCATCAGTCGGACATCCCCCCAAGGCTCCTGTACTGTGAGAGTGTAGAGGCCAGGCTGAGGGACCCCCACCCCAGTGCACGAATTTTGTGCACTGGGCCTCTAGTAACTAATAACTACTTTTGATTGAGGGCTAGACCATGACTCTGCATGCATTAACTCTCCACATTTACCCCAGGAGAGGGGCAATGTTATTATCCATGATACTTTCCAAATGAGCAAATTGAGGCATAGAGAGCCCGAGTGAATTATCCCAAGTTTCACAGGTAACAATGGGAAGAGCCAGGAATTGAACCCAAGCAGTCTGACTTCAGAGTTCTAGATTATAATCATCTGCTGTGTAGGACTAATCCTAACCTTCTAAACCAACCTCTTTTTGTTCTCTCTGAGGTCATCGGGGAGCTCCAGGGTGTCAAACTCAATAGAGATACTCCATTCAGGATTACTGACCCAGTGGGACACTTTCACTTTCTCTCCCCTGTCCATCCATCATGATTCTGTGACACTTTACCTCCTTTGCCACACCTTCCAAGTCCTCTTTGTCTTTTTCTCTTTGGCCCCTAAACATTGGTGTTCCCACTGTTCATCTTCTTGGTCATCTCCTATGCTACCATGGCATCAACTGCCTCTCTTTGCTTGTTCATACCTCTCCTCTGTGCTCCTAACCCATACCCCCACTGGACCTCCAGAAGCTAACGTTGAACCTCGCCAGACCTGACTACTCTCCCCCAACTGCCCTCAGGAGGGATGATGACCAGGCAGATGCCTCCTCCACACTACGGTCTGTGCTCAGCTTACCTGCCCCTCTCCTGGATTCCTTTGATATTGTAACCCATGTAGACATCGACATTGAGCCCCATTATATTAACTCTCATCTGTCTGAATATAATATGGAAATATCTTGAGCCCTGACTTCTCTCCAGAACCACAGCCACAAACACTCAAATTCCTCCTAGTAATATGCATTTGGATGCCTACAAATAATCTAACTAAAAAAATACTAAGCATTTATATCACCCTTCCCTTTGGTTCTCACTAATGTAATGAGTTGTGTTATCAAAAGATGCAGGATGGGAGTCAGGTAGTCTGGCTGGGTGCCCTTCACTGTGTGGTGACCCTTCAGGATCTGTTTCCTCACCTGTAAAATGGACATAGTGACTGTACCTACTTGGGGCAAGGCAAGACTTGGAGAATTCTAGCTTTCCTTTTTCTAACTTGATTCTCCTGCTGTGAAGTGGGAGAGGAGCTCTTAATGGGCTGTTGTAGCTTGGCCACTTCCAGACCAGGTGTCAGAGGCCCTATGGATTCTTTGGAGGCAGCCTGGCTCCCTCCTGCATTTCTAGGGGTCACTTTACTCCTGTTTCTCAGAGACTGGTCACCTTCAAAAAACCAATGAAGTAGCTTCCAGAGTTGCCTTATTAAAGACATTGTCACAGTGGGTGATTCTCCATCATTCCAGTAACAAACAGGTCTGCATTCCTGTCCTGGACCATGCCCTGTGCTGGGGCTCAAAGAAAATGAAGTTGCTGCCCTCCAGGTATTCAGGGTTCTTGGGACAAACTGATCCATGAGAGGACAACTGTGTGGATGATTCTCTGGTTGAGGTATGAACACAGCAGTGTGAGAACTCAGTGGGGAAAGCCCCTCGCACACACTGCTTCAGAAAGAAATTCAAGGAATGAGGTTCCCAGAGGGGGGTGGGGCATCTAATATCAGACTGAAGAATGCAGAGGAGAAAGGGTATCCCAGTCAGAGCCTACAGTCCGCAGAGAGGAATAGTGCGGGGACACATGGAGGCCTGGGAGACAGAATCAGATGGCCCAGAGAGGGAGACTATGAGGGGAGCTTGTGAAGAGGGTAAAAGGAAGGCCAGGCAAGGTATTGAATTCAGGCTGCAGAGCTTAAATGGGGAATCCATTGTAGGTTTTTCCCCAGTGGGCTGGCATGACTATGTCTGCCTTTAGGAATGTTGCTTAGTTAGAGATGTGGAGGAGGGTCTGAAGACAAGGCCCTAAAAGACAGTGGCAGATAGCTGGGTGAGTGATGGTGGCCTGTACCCAGGGGAAGGCAGTAAGAACAGGGATATCTCTAAAATAGAATGTATAGGCTTGGCTGGCATTGCTCAGTGGTTGAACGTCCACCTATGAATCAGGAGGTCATGGTTTCATTCTAGTCATGGTATATGCCTGGGTTGTGGGCTTGAGCCCTAGTGGGGGTGTGTGCAGGAAGCAGCCAATGAATGACTCTCTCTCATCAGTGATGCTTCTATCCCTGTCTCCTTAACCTTTCCTCTCTGAAATCAATACAAATACAATACAAATATTTTAAAAAAATAGAATGGTCAGGACTCAGTTACTGACTGGGGCAGAGCTATAGAGGAGGAGTTAAGGAGGAGAGTAAAGGAACACAGAGATTCATTGGGACTCATCTTTGATGTCACTTCCTCCTGGAAGCCTTCTCTAAGCACCCCCCATACCCATGCTGGTGAGAGGCCCCTGCCCAGAGCTCACAGTGCCTCAGAGGTTATCTTGGGCACACACTCTGGCTTCCCGCCCCAAACTCTAGGCTTTATAAGGTAGGGTCCCTCTCTTATGCATCATGGCTGCCTCCCAGGCCCTGGCATTGGGTCAGATGTTCAGCATACGCTCAATAATCACTAGTTGGGTAAATAACTAAATGAATGAGAGAGAGGGAGGGAGGGAGGGTGGGGGGAGAGAGAGAGAGAGAGAGCGAGAGAGAGAGAGAGAGAGAGAACTGAAGAGAGGCCTGATCAGATCTCCATTTGCCCACTCCCCCAGGGCAGGGGATGGGCCTGCTGTGCTTTCTTCTGGTTGTGACCCCTGTCCCTCGTCCTCCCCAGTACTGGACATGGTGGCATCATGAGCTGTCAGGCTGACTCAGGAACTCCACCCCATTCCCGGCGGCTCCCCTCACATAGGCAGTGCAACTGCTCCAGTGATCTCATGGCACTTCACAGACTCCGTGTCCCCACCAAGCACACCTGGCCTGTTTGGTGTTCAGGGCTCAGCAGTGCTGAGACACCACAGCTGGTTCATGTCTACATCAGCTTCCCCCACCAGGCAAACAGTCAGTACCTTCATCTAGGGGTTCTGCTGGGACTCTGCTGGGTCCCCAGAGCAGAGCCTGGCCTCTCACAGACAAAGTGCTTGCTCCCCAATAGTTGTGGAATAAAATAATGAGATGGGGGCAGCGAACCCAGGTCGTCCATGTCTCCCACCAACCAGACTTCAGGCCTCATCATTTGCCTGCTGGTTCTTCTGGCCCCATCTCTAAAATGGTGTGGAAGGAGCCCGGAACAGCAGGGTCCCCGTACCTCATTCCTTCCAGGTCTGGAGCCACCAGGCGGAGTCCTGCCCCGGGTGTCATAATCTGCAGGCGGACAATTTCCTCACCTCTTGCACTGTAGCCAAAGGAGAGAGCCATAGAGTTGCTGGTAAGAAAAGTCTCCCCATCTGTTCTGGGCATCCAAGGGCGTTCTCCCTCAGCAGCCTCGTGGCTAGTACAGTTGGACACCCAGACCCATTGCCAACCCTCACCCCTTGGCTCCTGTTTTGCCTTGAATCTTCTTGATGCTGCAACTGAGCATGGTCCACTGATATCCAGACCCAAAAGGAAGGGAAGTGAAGGACCCTTTCACCAGTCCTCCACCCTTCAGGCACAGAGAGGGGTCATTTGGGTAGAAATAGAAGCACCCAGCCTCAACACCCCATCTGTAGCTGCCACAATGAATCCTGCCTGTGGCGTGACTGCTGAGTCCAAAGAAACTGTTGGTGAGGCCAATAGGAATTCTGAGTTCACGAGCTAATGTGGACTGATGATTAATAAGATGCCCACGCCGAGACCGGTTTGGCTCAGTGGTAGAGCTTCGGTCTGCGGACTGAAAGGTCCCAGGTTTGATTCCAGTCAAGGGCATGTGCCTTGGTTGCGGGCACATCCCCAGTAGGGGGTGTGCAAGAGGCAGCTGATCAATGATTCTCTCTCATCGATGTTTCTAACTCTCTATTCCTCTCTCTTCTTCTCTGTAAAAAAATCAATAATAAATATATTTATTTATTATTATAAAATGCTCAGGAAACCTACAAACCAAATTTAAAGTGAGAGCCAGTGGGGGAGGGATAGTGGAGACTGAGAGATGAAGGGAAGTGAGCAGGCCTGTGAGTCCACAGAGGATCTAACATTCTCAGTGCTCACTGGTCCCCTTTGAGGGTACCTGTGCTCAGAGCCAGGTCCCCAGGTGAGGGCACACATCCCTTCAAGTCCGATGTATTTTTGGGGGTCCTTTGCAGAGCCTGACACCCAGCAGCCTCAGGCCATAGTGATGGCCAGGGCTGGAGAAAACTTAGAACTCTCTGCTTTTGTGTGGGTATCCTTCACCCAAAATCACGACTATTCACATCCATTCCTTCCTTTGATTGGCCCTGGCTGGACTCTGGGGTACAGATGGGGGTGAGCTCTATGCCTGCCCTGATGAGCCAGCAGGAGGGAGATGTGGAAGAGGAAGGTGGAGGCTGGCAAATACCTTAAATTCTGAGGTCGCATATGGTGCAGCAAAAGAAATGAGGAGAGTGAGGGGTTTGACATGATCAGACTGCCACTTTAGAGAGGCCACTCCAGGGTTCCCAAGAGGATGAGGGATCGGAGGAGTCAGGGAAGTCGGTGACCCTGGGTGTTGACCCTGATATCTGCCTCCAACCTAGACTGAGAGTTCATGGAGGGCCAGCTCAGGATCAGTGGGTTGTTCATATCTGTCCTTCCTGGGGACAATGGAAATGACCAGAGTGAAATGGCAGGGCTGCCAAGGACAGGGCCTCTCCCCATGTGAAAACCAGGAGGGGCACAGGAGAAGACAGCTCTGATTTCTATCTGTCTCGTCCCATGACAATAATGATGACAGCATAAAGCCCCCGACCACTGCCCTACTTTGCCCCATCTAAGGCACATGGTGCCAGGGAGCAGGGACACATTCCACTTGAGGATGTCACAGGCAAGTAAAAAATACTTTCTCACTGGCATTTTTTGTTATGCCAGAGAGAGAATAGAAAGAAAGTGTTGCCTCAGCCTGCCCAAGCTGGCATCTCTCCCTCAACACCTTCTTTCTCCTTTGTCATCCCCCTGAGCAATTGCTTTTTAAAGACCTAGGTCAAATGGGACCCCTTCTAGAGAGGCTGTTATGGGTTGCATTGTGTTCCCCCAAGATATGTATTGAAGTCCTAATCCTTGGTATCTGTGACCCAGTTTGGAAATGGGTCATTGAAGATGTAATTAATTATGATAAAGTCATGTTCCAATATGGTGGGTCCTAACTAAATATGATTGGTGTCTATAAAAAGGGGACATTTAGACACAGGAATACAAAGGAAAGATGGCCACGTAAAGGCAGAGGCAGAGATTGGAGTGATGCATCTGCATGCTAGGAAGCACCAAGGATTGCTGACAACACCCTAAGAAAATATTCTAGAACATTCTCCCCCAGCGCCTCTGGAGAGAGCATACAGACCTGCCCGCACCTTATATTGGAATTTCTAGTCTCCCGAATTGTGAGGATAAATCTCTGTTGTTCAATCCACTCACTTTCTGACACCTTGTAATGGCAGCTGGAGTAAATTCATACAAGAGCCTTCCAACCTCTACTCTCCTGCAGTGCTAGACAAGCCCTGTCACCTCCCCAGTCACTCAACCACAGGTGGCTCTCAGACTAAGAGCTGCTGAAGGTCAGGAACACTCATCCAGTGGAGCCCCAGCTGCCCATGGGAACACGACTGACAGTGGCCTGTGCTAAAAGAGGAAGAGGGGTAGAGGAGAGAGGAGGGAGTACAGGTTTCGCCAGCTCTCTGAAAATAATATTCCTGTAAAACTTTTCAGAAGCCGAAAATTGTATAAAGGGAAGAGACAATGAGCTGAATGCTATTTTTTCTTTTTGCCTTTTTTTTCACAAAAGCAAAAATCCTCTTCAGATTTATTTTGGTTAGTGAAACAGATACTAATGTAGATATTTTGGCTCTTTTGCAAAGCAAAATAGCAGAAGGCAAACTTTGGAAAACCCTGGGATACCTGTACCTCCTTCTCCAGAGCCCACAGCCGCATTTTCCTCAGGGGCCAGTAGGTGGCGATAGTAGCATCTTTCGTTATTTGAAGAAAGGCCTTGAAAATTAGCAAGTCTCTAGTGGAGCCTCTGACAATACCAGCACCCAGGCACTACACAAAAGACTTTACAAGCTTTATCCTATTTAGTACTTGGGACAGCATTGTGTGTGTGGGGATGGAGGGGTAACTTTCACATCTCCCTATTTTACACGTGAAGAAGCTGAGGCACAGAGAGGTAAAGTCACTCAAGGTCACACAGCTAGGAAGGGGCAATGCCAGGGTTTTGCCTTATACTGGAAGCTGTGCTCTTACTCACTGCTTCCAAGCTACTCTACCAGGCAGCATGCTGGGGCACAGACTGCAGGCCCTGCCCTGGTTAGGTGAGGCACAGTGCCAAGAAAGCTTGAACAATGTGCTATAACAGGGCAGCAGCCAGGCCTGGCAGCCCTCAGGCCAGTCAGTGTCTCTGGGAGAAAGTATCCAAATGAGCTCAGTTTATAATGTGGACAGGAATTATCCAACAGCAAGAAAAACTAGATTGACCCAAGAAACTAGGCCTGGGGTGCATGGAGGGAGGGCCCCTTCAATGTGTGAGCAGTGTGTGTGTTGGGGAGGTGGGTGTAGACACTGGAGCTGAGGGGCCTTTGGGACATCCAGGCAGGTCATGGGTCTAGAGCAAGATTGGAATTCCAATGGAAGGAAAAAGACAGCTGGAAAGCCTTGAGGACACAGCCTGTGGGCATCTTTGTGTGACAATTCCCATCCCAAACTTTCAGACCTCCTTGAAGTCAGTAAAGGGTTTGACACCTAAGATAGGGGCACTCCTCCTGGTTGGCCTGATGCATGAGATGAGGAGCTGACCTTCAGACTTGAGCCAAAGGGGACAGAACAGGGTTAGGCTTGTGAAGGGGGTGGCCTCAAGAGGAGCATGCCTGGGAACAAGGCTGTGATATTCTTCTGTCCCACTCTGCCATACACCAGCTTCTTCTGAGGTACTGCAAGACCCAGGGTATGGTGAGTCACTGTTCCCCATGGGACTTAGATTCTTTTCTTTATCATTCTTTTTTTTAAAAAAAAAACATGTGCTTTTGTGTGTCTGTGTGTGTGTGTGTGTGTGTGTGTGTGTGTGTGTGTGGTTTTTTTAAATTTTTTTTTATTGATTTCAGAGAGAGGAAGGGAGAGGAAGAGAGAGAGAGAAACATCAATGATGAGAGAGAATCATTGATCGGCTGCCTTCTGCACATCCCCTACTGGGGATTGAGGCTGCAACCCGGGCACAAGCCATGAATGGGAATTGAACCGGTGATCTCTTGGTTCATGGGTCAATGCTCAACCACTGAGCCACACCAGCCAGACAGGGCTAGAATTCTTGAAGGGAATAGCCAGGCAGATAGGAGCTGGGTTTGAGAGACTGATGATGGCTGCCTGGGCCAGTTCAGGGCCTGACTGGGTCAAGCCAGAGAAGAAGGCTGCCTAGGACTGGCCAGCAGCTCACCTGGACGCTGCCTGGTAGGGACTAGATATTTGATGATGGCAGAATCTGAGGAAAGCAGCCCCATGAAAACCATCATGCCTGCCTGCCCAGTCATCCTTTCAGGAGGAGGCTGGCTTGTCTTGAGATACCTCTGGTGTCTGGAACATTCCATAATCTGGTTCTAGTTCTGTTTCCTGGGGCTTTACAGGCAAGTTTTATCTGAGATAGCCCACATCCAGAACTGGGAGACGATACACTTCTATTGTTTGAGCCACCAGCTGGGGTACTTTGTTATGGCAGCTACCTTGCTATGACAGCCAGGTGATGGATATTAGACATCTAAAGGAATTTTCTGGAATAAATGTCAAAATACCTTTCAAATCTATAATATAGTACAACTGAATTCTTCTCCGGCATTCTGTTTTTAAAAGCATATAAAACCATTCATTGCTAAAAAAAAAAAGGAAAGTCAGAGCTATGCTCTGTTTGGGGCTGAATTGTGTCCCCTTTTAAATTTGTATGTTGAAGTCCTAACCCCTATGACCTCAGAATGTGCCTGTATTTGGAGATGGGATCTTTTAAGAGGTGATTAAGGTAAAATAAGGTCATTGAGGTGGGCTGTAATTCTACCTGTCTGGTGTCCTTATAGTAAGAGAAGATCAAGACACAGACATGCACAGAGGGATGACTATGTGAGGATACAGTGAGAAGACAGCCTTAGCCGGTTTGGCTCAGTGGATAGAGTGTTGACCAGCCCACAGACCAAAGGGTCCCAGTTTTGATTCTGGCCCTGGTCAGGGTGTATGTGGGAGGCAACCAATGGATTTGTTTCTCTCATGTCAATCTCTCTCACTTTCTCTCTTTCCCTCCTTCCATCCCTCCTTCCCTCTCTCTCTAAAAATCAATGGGAAAATATCCTTTGGTGAGAAACAACAAAAAATATAAATAAAGATAAATAAAAATAAAAGCCAAGGAGAAAGCCCTCAGAAGGAGCCAACCCTGTCAACACCTGGATCTCAGACTCCCTCCTCCATAATTGGGAGACAATATAGTTGTTTGATTTGCCCAGTTTGTGGGACTTGGTTACAGCAGCTCTAGCAACCTAAGACAGCTCCCATATCCTATCAGTCACCAAGTTCCATTATTGATTGCTATTTTCTGAAGAATTCTCAAATATTTCCACTTGTTCAAAAGTTCCCGTGGACAAAAGTTCAGAAAACAGGGAAGATCAAAAGAGGGACTGAATGAAGAGAATAGGCTTTCTGGCAGAGAAGCCCCTGTGGCCACCTCCTCCTCTCCCCTCCCAGCCCCAGCCAGCAGAGAAGGTCTGCACAGGTGATCTGTCTTTCTCCTGGCACTGAGGAGAGGACCCTGAGGACTGTGGACACATACAATGATTAAGGGGCTTGAGTTGGGGATGGGAGGGGCTTGAGTTGGGGCTTTCAGTGGCATTATGAGAGCTAGAACAGTCCTTGGAGTCCCCAAAAGTGACCTGTAGGGATAGGTGCTGTGTCCCTCTGGCCTTGGGGTCTTTCAGGGGTGCCACAGAGGCACAGCTTTTAGCAGACCTGGATTTGGACAGAGCTGCCGATCCAGGCAGATGCTTTAAACAGAAGCAACAATAGGGTGCTCTCTGCAGGACTTCACAGGATTTAGCACAAAGTACAAGGAGGTATTGAATGCTCTTCATCCGCAGACAAGAGAGAACCATTATCTGCTTGGACACTCAGGACTCAAAAATCAGGGCAAATCAGGGACCTGCCTAGAGTGAGATCATCAATGCTCGGCCTGCTCCTGCCTTGTCACCCCACTGCCAGATTCTCCCATCTGACCAGCTTACAGGCCAGAGTCAGCTCACAACACCCACCTGGGCTCCAGGCTCCCGGCAGGGCTTGGCAGACTTGGCATGCGCTCAATCCAAATTGCCCGAGACACTTTGGCTCGGCCTCCATCCGCACTGGCAAAAAAGGCATCTGTGAGCGGTGCTGGGTACTGTAGAGCCTCCTTCCCCAGCAGGAGCGGGAGGACAGGGTTGGCAGGTTGAACTTGGCCAACTTTTAGGAGAGCCGAGAACAAACCTGAGAATGTCAGGGTTGGCGCCCCGGTGGCGGACCCGCTCCAACCCCGTGACACAGATAACCACTAAACAGACAAGAGTTCAGTGCTCTCTTCCTGGAGGCCAGGCTGTTTTGCTTCTTTCAGCCCTAGGACATCCAGCCAGATAGACCCTCACTGATTTCCGTGCCCCATCCTGTCACTGGGCATGTGAGGACACCGACTCTGAAGCTCTGTATGGAGGTGACCTGGCAGAGGTTCCACAGTGACTGAGTGGCAGGCAGGCCTGGCAGCCACCAGCCCCAGGCAGAGATGGGTGACTGATTGATTACCTGCTGGAGCCAGGAGGAGATCTTGTCAGAGCAGGTGGGTCCTGCCTCTTCTCAGAAGGCCCGTCCTCCTCCACTACCTCCACCCTTTGGGCAAGAAGAGAAACAGATGCACCACCTGCTCAGCTGCACCTGAAGGACATGCTTTCTTTAAGTAGAGTTAATGGTCATAAGGTGGCTCAAGCTGGGGGCTCAGCGACTCCACCTTGGGATAAGAACAGCATACTATGTGGAATAGTGTCCCTCCAAAATTCGTCTGCTTGGAACCTGTGAGTGTGACATCATTTGGAAATAGGGTCTTTGCAGATGTAATCATGGTTAGATTAGGTCATGCTGGAGTAGAGTGGTCCCTAAATCCAATACTTGGTGTCCTTATTAGAAGAGGTAAATTTGCATACAGACACACAAAGGTCAAGTGAAGATGGAGGCAGAGACTGGAGTGATGCAGCCACAAACCAAGGATGCACCAAGTGTTGCTTATAGCTTCAGAAGCAACGAGGCTTGGGACAGTTTCTCCCTCAGAGCCTCCAGGAGGAACCAACCCCGCTAACAACTTCATCTTGAGCTTCTAGCCTCCAGAACTGGGAAACAATACATTTCTGGTGTCTATGCCACACAGCTTGTGGTACTTTGTTATAGCAACCCCAGGAACCTAATACAGCCATCAAGAGCGCATCACCCTCGGCTGGCTGCAGTCCCATCAGCCTTTCTGGTCTTCCAACATAGAAAAATGTTCCCACCTCTGCCCACCTCTGGGCTTCTACCTGCAACACTTGATGTGCTGGCTATTTTTTTATTTTTTGTCCTCAGCTTATTATGAAGATCTTCCGTGTCTACCCAACAGAATATCTCTAAAATTCCACTTTCCAGAAGTTTCTTCCTTGGCCTCCCCAAATATTCTCCTCTCTCAAAAGATGTCCTTTTCACTTAATGGTGAAACCACTCCCTCACTCAGCTGGAGTATCCTGATCATTCCTTGTTAAACCTTCTTCACCCTTTAGAGACTATCTCCAATGTTATGGTCACTTTCAAAGGCCTGACTAACCAGGTAGGGATTCCCAATGACAAGCCTCTGGACTCCTTCCCTGTGATGGCTCCTGTGTGGGCATTATCCAGCCTGTCCCTGGTCAGATGGTAGGACCAGGGAACAAATCCTATGTACTCCCACTGATACTTATGCTTCAAAACCCCAGAGGCCCTTGAAATACTATGAGTCAGAGGCCCAGCCCTATTGGCTATTGGCAAATGGGAGTGTCTAGCCACACAGAACTGGATGCCAGAGCCATATGTGCCACGACAGCCATCCAAGTGCTCACCTGGCCTCCAGACAGAAGCACCAGCCTGTTACAACAACCCCTGCTCAGGGACAGCAGCCTCACTGTATCCAATGACCCCCTCCCCAGTGCCCACACTACACTGTTGCTAAAAGGAAGCCTTCTCCATGGCCAGCAATAGACCTCTAAGGCTTCCCTTGCTGACACTTACCTTTTCGCAATGAATGGGGCCTGCAATTCTTGAATAGGGCTTCTGGAAAGAAGATAGAAAGATTATGTGTTGGGTAGAATCCTGGAGTAGATAGGTGACATCATGACCCCAGAGTGTCCAGGGCTTCTCTCCCATTCCTAGCACCTTGTCTGTCCTGATGGCAGTAGCCAAACCCCTCAGTTTTCCAGAAAGTACATCTGAGAATTTCAGAAGGTCCAGCTAAGAGGGCTCACTCATCCCACCATTCACTAGGCAGAGAAATAGCAAAGCCCTGAAGGGACAGAAACTGTTCCAAAGCATGGAGCTGGATGATGGCTGAGCTGTGTCTTTTGCTGTGCAACTCACCCTGTGCTCTTCTTGGCCGCTGACAGGACGTAGGAGCGCTCCCGGGGAGCTGTCTTCCTCACCACACTACTTGCAGCCTCTGACCTGCAGTGGCAAGTGGGTATCTGGTAGACAGGTACTCAGGATGGCTTGGACCACCACAGCAAGGCAAGGGATCAAAGCAAGCCAGTTTCGCATCTGCTCTGAGGACCACTCAGTGGAAAGTAAAGACCAAGGGAATGGAAACCCTTGTTTATCAAGCAATGGATGCTGCCAATCCACATTGGATCATTCCTTACACCCCAGGAAGTTGGGTGCTAGTATCACCCATGATTTATGGATGAGGAAACTGAGGTATGGGGAGTTGCAGTGGCTTACCCAAGATCACACGTTTAGCTTGTGGCAGAGTCGATGCCAGGTGGCCTGGCTCTTCCCCAGTACTTTCCAGGCTAGGGATCCCTGCCACTCTTAATTCTGCCCTTATGATTGCCCAGCTGCCAGGCTCTCAGAAGGGGCTTTGCTCTGTTTCCTGAGCCACAGAGGGGCCAGAACACATTGGGATTGGGAGGGAGGTAGACTGAACCTGGGAGCTTTATTTCCTTGGGTCCTAGCCGCTGCCCAAGCACCCAGTCTCACTTTGTGGTGAGGGACATTGGAACCTCTGGAGCCTGTCCCTGTGCCCCATGCATGCAGACCCTACCCTGACTCTACACACACAGCAAATACATAGTGGGCTCTTCTGAAGGTCCTCTTTGCTGCCTACTTTGGTCCAATTTACTCAGAACCCTTTTTAAACAAACTGATAAAGAGTCCTGAAGCACATCCCTTTCCACCCTCTGTCCACAGATGAGGCTTTCCCCCATCACTTGTTACCTAGGTTCTGCTCATAGAATGTTCATAAGATGTTCTGCTGAGCTGGCCCAGCTTTTGGATGATTCTGAGACTCAAGGGATAACACCTGTTGCTAGCAACCATCTTCAGCCCACAGGCCAGCAACAGTGTCCTAAGTGTTGTGCATTTCATCACCCCACCTGGCACAATTCCTATTTCACCAGACTGTGCAGACTTGGGCCCAGCCCTGCCCGTGGGATGCCCAGTGGGTACTGTTACCTCCGTTTCTGCTCATCAGAAGAGAAGGGCACTTCCTCCTCTTCATCTGCCCCCGAGGCTGAGCTGCGCCTGATATTGTAGGGTGCCCTGGGGGGATGGGAAGTGGGAAGGGTTGAGGATGCTAGCAGTTATGGCTCTTCCTCATCCTTCCTCCACCCTTTCTCCCTTTCATAGGCTGCCACTCTCAGCAGCTTGGCTTCCTGCCTTCCAACAACTGCCTCTGGGCTTTTGCTCATACCACTCTTCCTCCTTGAGAGCTGCCAGCCTTCCTCTCTTTCCCTGTTCCAATCCCAACTGTCCTCTAAGACTCAGCTCAAGCCTCACCCCTTCTCCAGAAAGATAACCTAGCTGCTCCATGTCACTGGACTATGATGACAAGGAACAAACAATATAAAGACTGGGGGTGGGAGTAGGCGGGGTTGGGAACCATGGGCACAGTCTACAATTCAGTCCAGAGCCCCCATCCTTGAGCACACAGGAGAGGGCCTTTGATATGGGCCACAAGTGGAACCCTAGAGGGAACCCCAAAGATTTATATTCAAAAGAAGCTCAGATTTAAGCACAAAATGCCCATAACTGATATGACTGCCATGGCCAGAAGCATGCTTAGGATAACCAGGCCCTAGACCAGCCTGGCCCTGCTTGGCCCAGCCCAGACTGAAAGCCCAGCCCAGAGTACAGAGGCATGTCCAGGAAACACAGTTAGCCAGAAGCAGTCCCAGTGCCATGTTACCCTCTTCCCAGACCCATCGCTCACTTCTACAAACTTCCTACAGATCCTGCTTTGCCTCAAATCAAAAGTGCAGTGTGCACAGACATCCAACTTTATGGGACTTGTCACCCTCTGGTGGGCTCCAAGTCATAGCATCAACTGGCAGGGACGTCAGGCCAGCAGGACTAGCACTCTTAGACTGTGTGCTCAGAGGCAAGCAGCCTGCTGCCCTCAGAGGGCCAGTGTTTGGGTTCATCCCTTGGGTCTATCCCTTGGAGGAGGGAACTGAGCTGGGTCTGCGATTGTATACTCACAGCTTCTTGTAGTCCTCAGTGGTCATCTTGTAGCCAGAAGAGAAGGGGCGGAGTGACCCGGAGGGAGCTGCTCTCACCAGACTGGCCATGCTGCAGAAGCAAGGAGTTTTCATGTGCCCACCCCAGAATACTTGTGCCTCCAGATTTGCCCACACAGCCTAGCAGGCACATGGGAGGTGGATGAGAGAATGCTGGTGGCCTTTCTTCTATGCTCCAAGTCCAACCATTTATCTAGAACCTCTGCAGCACCCTGAGCAGGGAAGCCGTCCTGCTAAGAGCAACTCAATTCCCTTGACCCTGCCTTTCTGATGGAGTTTGAGTTCAGCCTGGCAGCAAGGTGCCATCTCAGGCTGCTGGGAAGGTGGCTGAAAACACACAGCTCACTTTGGTCAAAGCTCCCTGAAAATCAGGGCTGGCTCAAGGTTAAGGTCACCATTAGTGGCCCAAGGATTCTCAGAGACCAGAGGACCCAAGCGGGCCATACACCCATCTGAGGTCTTCCAGTCTCTCAGGTGCAACTGCATCACCCCCTAACCCATCTCCTCTGATCGCTCCTGTGTTGCTCTCCAAGGCCTTACCTTACACAAAGACAGAACTGCCATCTCTCACCCCCTCAGTGATAGGCAAAGTACTCTCTCTGCCATGAGACTGGCTCAGGCCCTCAAAACTCCTCACCGTCAGGCTAGCCAGCACCCCATGGACACACCTTTTTGGAGCTCCGTTGGCCTTAGGAAAGTGCTGCTGGGGCTGGGATGAGCTGTCGATGGGCTTGGTGAACACACCCCTAAAAGAGAGCCCAGAAGAAGCAACCCATTAAGCATCCAGGGAGAAGACAGGGGGCAATGCAGGAGGGTATGGGGAGATGGGCAGAGTCCTGCCATCACCTACCGGATGATATAGCCAGTGGAAGCCCTTGTGCTTGAAGACCTGCCAAGCAAAAAAAAAAAGGCATGAAGTAAATTGATGCCCTGCTGGTGGGCCCTAATTTTTCCTGTCCCAAAGGACAGCAAGTTGGATTGTCTGGTAAGTGTCCCAGTGCAGGGGTGGCCAGGAGTTTCCCAAGAAAGCCAGACACTATGCACCTCTAGCGTGGTTCCTGCTCTGCTCTGCCTGTATCTCTCATGCTCCCCAAGAAAAGTACCTGTGGCTGATTGTTCCAGGCCCAGCCCAGCATGGTCCTGACTCACAGTAAGTGCCTAGGAAGGTAAGTGTCTCTGGCTGGGCATTTGCTGCAGAGGTGTTCCCTTAAAATTCTGGCTTCTCCCTGCTTTAGACCCCAGCTATCTCCTGAGTGACAGCTTTTCTGGGATTGCTGACAGCCCTCCCACCCTCTGTTTTCTTTCCTTTTTTTAAAAATATTTTTATTGATTTCAGAGAGGAAGGGAGAGGGAGAGAGACATAGAAACATCAATGATGAGAGATAATCATTGATTGGCTGCCTCCTTCATACCCCCCTGGGGATTGAGCCCCCAACTCGGGCATGTGCCCTGACTGAGAATTGAATCATGACCTCCTGGTTCATAGGTCGATGCTCAATCTCTGAGCCATGCAGGCCATGCAACCACCCTCTGTTTTCAAAGATCACCCAGCTCAGGCTGGACACTCCGTGGCCAGAGGGTGGGGTTGGGACATGGCAGGCAGAAACCATGGCTCCTGACCTATTCTCCACTCCACATCTCCCCCACCACCCTGCCTTTTACAAGAAAGTTCATAAAGGCCTAATGCCAGCTGACTTTCCCTTGCCCTCCTCTGGGGCTTCCCCTCCTGCAGCCCTTGGGACACTCACACACACGTCTTTATGGAATTTGGGGACCTGAGGGCATGGTGAAGACTAAGTCAGTGTCTGGAAAGCATTAGGCTCCATGTGCTGAGCACTTTCTAATTGGGAGCAACCGAGGGCACTCAGTACTCAGGGGGTTGGAGGTGGGAGCCAAAGGCTGACGGTGAGGACAGGAGATAAGGACTCTGTCCATGAACAGAGGAGCTTGGGACTGAGCATGAGGGTTGGGTCTAAGGGGACTTCGTGCAAGCAGGCAGACAGGGCAGCACAAAGCCCAAGTGTTCTCCATCTCAACAGACACTGTACTTGACTGAGGATAGCCTCCTGGAGGTGACCAAGATCCAGGATCATTTAGGGAAGGACCAGAGGGGAAAAGGTCACCTGCACCCCTCCCAGCCACAATGAGCATTTATGGCTAAAATTCCTGTGTGCTGGGGAGGTTAGGCTATGGCCCCTTGCTGGCCCTGGACCCCCCTGAGAAAGAATGAGAGCCCAGGTTTATGTAGACTTCTGGGTTCCCTTGCTCTGGGCCCCAAGTCACAGTACTTCAGGACGTGTTTTCCAAATGCACCTCCAAACTAAAGCCCGTGATGAGAACTGTACCCACAAAGTAAACAAGCTTTACCAATGAGTAGACTATCTTTGAACTGTCCGCAGGTCCTTGCCAACCTCGCCATTGTATGTTCATCTCTCTACTTGGGTTGTACCTGTGATCCCTGCTAGGATGTCAGTTCCCTGAGGAGAGGGATGTCTCCTCTGTGCTCAGCATAGGACCTGGTAGGTAGCAGGCACTAAGTCATTGAGGGATGATGGACAAGGCCACAGTTACCAAAGGCAGCCTCTGGGGCTAGCAGTGAATTTGGACCTCTTCCTTCCAGCTGTTGGCTCTGCCTCTACCATCACCTGAGAAAGGCCCTGGCAATGTATTCACTGCCAATTGCCAGCTGTCTAGAGCAAGTATCAAGCATGAATTTTTGGCTCGTACCCCCTTACTTGTCAGGAGCAGTTCTTGTAGATCTGGGCAGATGTTCCCACGCTTCAGAGCCTCCCTGGATATCTCTTTGCAAAAGTCTTTGAAATAGAGAGGGGATTATTCCCCTTGGACAACTGTCAAAATGTGCCATCCTGAACGTGGGAGACAGTTGTTACAAATGTGTGAGACTCCCCTGGTGTGCCAATTACCAGGTGCACTCAGCAATCAGGGCTACCTATGGAGGGAGTCATGAGCGACTTAAAGCACATCCCAGACATTATCTTACTCCCAGCAGGGGGTTCTTAATGACAAAATTTTTTATCACAGTTGGCAGGTGGAACCATGGAGGCTCAGAAGGGGGAGCAGCTGGCCCAAAGGCCACATAGCAAGGCCTGGAAACTGGACCCAGTGACTCCTCCTTTCCCTTTCCCAAGGGAGAGCAGAGTGGGGGGGGGGGGGACCCTCATCCTTCTTGTAGATTTCAAATGTCAGGCTACAGACCCTAATGTCCCTTCTCAGCTCAGGCTCCATCCCTGTTTCCTGCAGACTGCTGCATGGTTTCCCACTCACCAGCCATCTGGGTACCATTTCTTACCTGGCCTTCGGGACCTCCCCAGGTGATGAAAAGGATGTGGCACGACTCCGACCAGAGGGCAGCTCTCTGGGGAAAGAGTTCACAAAAAAAGTGGCTCCCAGGCCCTGAACTGTCATCCACCCTATGGCCTCCCTACTAGAGACTGCCTGCTGGGCCCCAAGGCAGCTGAGGGAGGTGCAGTACATGCACCCCAGGAACTTGGCCCACCATTCCCATTTCACCTTCTCCCTTCCTGGATTGCCTCCACATTCCACAGGCACTCACACACATACACCCCAGCACCCAGAGCTTTCCTGCCCTGTGACTTTGAGACTTTCCCTCAGCTGCATTGCTTTCCCCTGATCCAACCTCCCCAGCTGACCTATGGCCACATTACCTGGCTGAGCTCTGAATGGGGGAAGCCCCCCAGCATCTCCAGGTCAGGACAAGATTCCTGGATCGCAACCCCAGCCCCACCCATTGCTGTTGGCCCTCCAGACCTCCTAGACTTACAGGGTGTGGCCCTCTGATTCATCCTGCTTGGTGATCCAGCTCTTGTCCCCCTTTAGAGTGGTCCGCACCTTCATCTGCCTGAGGACGTTACTGCGTTCCTCCTCGCCTGCTGAGAGAGGCTTCCCTGCCAGGGACAAGGTTACACAGCTTCAGAAGGGGAGCCCAGCCCCAGGACCCTGGGCTTCCTTTTCAGCCCTCCCAACATGTCCCTCTCACTCTGCTATCCAGGCAGCACTCATGGCCCTGACAGGGCCAGCCTGGGGAAAAGCAGCCACATACTTTGCCCAGGGCTGCAACAAGAGGAAACCTGGACCTCACCTTTGGTGCTGCTTCCGAGAGCTGAGATGCTCATGGTGTCTTCTCTGCCAGTCACTTCTCAGTTGATTCAACAGGGCTCCTGGGGCAAAGGCAAGCACATGATTGTCACTTCATGCATTTATAATGGTTTGCAGGTCAACATATGCCTCTCGGCACGCCAAGACCACTCAGCCTGTCTTTTGGGCATTGGGAAGCAAAAACTTGTGGAGTCCTGGGTGGCAGGTACATGAGAAGCATCCACAGTCCCCAAGAGTGAACACTTCCTGGATCTGCCACCACCAGGTGGAACAGCCACATATCTTCCCAGGGTCATTCACCTAAGGAACAAGGCACAGACTACCAGGATCCCTCTAAGACAGTGTTTCCCAAAGTGTGGTATGCGTACCCCCAGGGGTACGGGAAGAGTTTGGTGGGGGTACGTGTTGCACCAGAGTTTGGTGGGGATGTGCACTGCACCGTGCTTAGCTGTGCCTAATTCTACGTTCTTATGAGTATGAGGGGTACTCAGCGTTACAAAAATTATAGAAGGGGCACACATATGTCAAAAATTTGGGAAACACTGGTCTAAGAGATAGCTGATGAGGGAACAGTACAAGCCCTCCTAGAGAGCCCTAATGGCAGAATCTAGGCCCCAGAATGTGTGGGGGAGAGAGTGGCAGCAAGGGAACCTTCACAGTGCCACACAGAGGACAGGCTCTCTGGAGGCTGACACCCATAGACTCAGAAGGAGAGACTGAAGGATGGGCGGGGGCCGTGGTCAGCAGCAGTTTTGAAGTTGGACCATCTCTCAGTACTTACTAGCTGACTGACAGACCTTGGACAGGTCAGCTAACCTCTAGGGACTGCCTTTGTGTTCTTATTTGTAAAATGAGAGTTTTAAAAGTCTACCCTTGCCCAGCCAGTGTGGCTCAGTGGTTGAGCATCCACCTATGAACCAGGAGGTCACAGTTTGATTCCTGGTCAGGGCACATGCCCGGGTTGTGGGCTCCATCCCCAGTGGGGGTGATGCCGAAGGCCAGCCAGTCAATGATTCTCTATCATCATTGATGTTTCTATCCCTCTTTCCCTCTCCCTTCCTCTCTAAAATCAATAAAAATATATATATTTTAAAATATAAAATTTTTAAAAGTCTAACCTTCCTGATTGCTGCGAGAGAAAATGCATTAATGTCTTGCAAGTGGCTGGCACCCCCTGGCACAGCTAAGATCAAAGGGTGTTGAATAAGAGTAGTAACTCTCAACCTGCCCTCCCTGGGAGAGGGGACTGTGGGTGGTCCTCAATCAGCACAAGCACAGCCTGGGGGGTGCAGCCCTGTGTGGTTCAGGAGTTGGCTCTATTTCCATGGAGGAAAGTCCAGGGCCCCACTGCCAACTCCTAGTGGTCCATGGTGACCAGGCAAAGGTGGAGATCTAGTAAGGGCTTTCTGCTGTGTCTGAGAACCAAGCGATGTCCTATGCTCTGCCTTCTCTTCCTCTCTCTGCTTCTAACCCTGCTCTCACTCCTTGTCGCTTCTCTGCACCTCAGCCAGGTGTTGCCCTCCTGTGGCCAGTGAAGGGCTGTGCTGGCCTCTGAGGCCTTCACTGCCCCATGAAGGCTGTTTGTTGCCTGAGGGCCTGGGGTAAGAAAACCAGTTCTCCAGGTTGGGACTGGCCTGGTGCTGCAGGAAGGTGGAAAGCCCATGTCATGGATCTAGTCACAGCCCTAACCTGTCACAGCTCAGACAAACGGGCATGATGAGAAGCAGGAGCCCTGGCCCTGCCTATGCAGTCCTGAGGCAGAGCAGTCTTTCTCTTAGGGGGTCTGCCACCCTCTGGGCCCCTCCAGGGCCAGGCTTGAGCAGCTGGGCCCTGCTGCCAGCTGGCAAGGCCTGGACATGTTTCCAGGGAGGTCAGAGGTGCACTAAAATGGGCAAGGCAGGGGGCCAAGAGCAAACCAAATTTGCCATGTCAGCAAGAGCTGGCTTTCCCATAAACTGCACCAAATGAGCAGCCCAGGAGGCCTGAGCCTGCTGTGTGCCAGGAACAGCACCTCATCATCATGCATGGGCACCCTGCGTGCCCAGCCCCTACACCAAGGCAGCCACGTCACAGTTCTACTGAGCAGAACACATACCATAAGTGATTCTCACATGTCCAACTGTCTCATATCAGCAACCCATGAAGTGACCCTACTGGGCAGGGCTCACAAAATCACCTCCTGAGATCTTGGTTCCTTGGTCTCCTAGTGCTGCTGACTGACTGTGAGACCATGAGCGAGTCCCTCACTCCCTATGGGCCTCAGCTCTAGAACTCCTACTACTCAGTCTTTAGGTTCCTTCAGAAACTCATCAATCTTCTGATAAACCTGTTGGCCACATTGTCTAGAGATTTTCTGACTAATTAGAACCAAATAAAATGTGTCCCAAATCAGGAAGGACTCACATACATGCAGAATGACAGAAGCAGAGGGGCCATTGGGGACTCCCAGGCCTGAGGTCTTCATTCAGACCCACCATCCCCTCTCCTCTTAGAGAGCAAAGCAGAGCAGCAACTCAATTAAGAGGCAGCTGTGAAAATCATCTGCAGACAGGAGCAGCTTTGGAGAATGGGGAGCTGACCACTCAGGAGGGTGTTTCCTGGGCAGCTCTCCCACACTGTGGGTGGGCAGATCAATAGGGGCATCTTTTTGGAGTACCACTCTCCATATGTTTTGAAAATCTTAGAAAGAGCAAGCCTATTGATCCAGCAGTTCCCCTCACTGCCATATCTCGTAAGGAGACAACTGCATAAGTGAACCAAGTATACAAGAGGGTGTCATCCCAGCATTTAGTGTGATAGTGAACATTTGGCAATAATCTAAATTCCCAAATCATTTAAAAATATATAATTATCCATCATTCTAGCACACACTATGCATTCATTACAAATGATATTAGCATATATGATACTTAAGCCTTCATGTGCATGGTTTTCATATATCATTATGTAAAATGCAGCTTTTAAAACCAGATGTGTAGGATGGTGCCATTGACTTAAAACTATCCTATATAATAAAAGGCTAATATGTAAATAGACTGAACAGTGGACCAACTGGAACAACTATGACATGTGCTGACCACCAGGGGGCATGTGCAAAACATGGTGGGCATTGGCCGCGATGGGATGGTGGAGCAGGTGAGTGGGGGCACCAGACCAAGGTGGGGTGTAGTCGCTGTCATCAGGGTGAGCCTCTGTGGTTATGAAGATTTTTTGCTCCTGCCAGCGCCAACCCTGCTCACACCTGCTGCTGGCACTAGAGCCCCTCCGGGCTTCCCCACCTCCCCCTGCTCTTGAGGGGGTTATCAGGGTCCACAGCTGCCTCTCGCACCTGCTGCCGGTGACAACCCCACTCACACCTGCTGCTAGAACCAGCCCCAGTTGTTCTGTGCCATCAGCGGGTATGAGCGGGCCTGGTGCCATCAGCTCATGGGAGTAGTGGCAGTGAGAGCAGGACTGCCAGCAGAGAGGGAACCAGGGGACCACAACAGGAGGGGCTGGGCAGAGGCACGGAGGATGGGCCAAGACCCACCCCTGTGCCCATTGTAACTTTGCAGCCCACAGTTCCTTTCAAGGTGCACAAATTTGTTCACTGGGTCCCTAATCTATATAACAGAAGCCCAGTGACCATTAAGACCAGTTGCTATGATGCGCACTGACCACCAGGGGGCAGATGCTCAACTCAGGAGCTGTCCCTGGTGGTCAGTGCACTCCCACAACTGGAGTGCTGCTCAACCAGAAGCCAGTCCCGTGGCTGACTAGGGCAGCAGTGGTGACGGGAGCCTTCCTGCCTCCATGGCAGCACTAAGAAGCTGTGAGCCAAGCAGTAAAGAGCAAGCAGATGGATGGTTAGGAGCGAGGGATCCTGGATTGCGAGAAGGATGTCCAATTGGGCCTAAACCGGCAGTAGGACAACCCCTGAGGGGTCCCAGATTGTGAGAGGATACAGGCGAGGCTGAGGGACCACCCCCCCTGCATGAATTTTGTGCATCAGGCCTCTAGTATTTACATAAAAATGCACATGGGAAAAAAACACCTGAAAAGATATATTCCAAAATATTTGGCTCTTCTGTAGTTCTATCATAAATGTGTATTGCTTGCATGATGAAAACTAAAGAAACAGTGATTTAAGCAAATGAACTGGGAGTTGGGGCTGCTTGGATAGCAAAGAATGGGACTCAAAAGCTACTAAAAAGATGAGATGTGAGGAGAGGATACAAATGCAGCAAGTTACTATAACATTGTCATCTCTCAATTAAAAATTACTAACTTGTGTATACATTTGATTAGGATCTCATATATCTATCAATAAGAAAACACGTTTATACTGTAGAATTAAATGAAAAATAACTTCTAAAACAGTATCAATAGTATGATCCCATGTATGTAAAAAAAAAAAAAAAGCAAAGGGAACATTCTTAAATGCTATACACTAAAATGCACAACAATCAGTTAATGTACAAAATATGCTAAGAATATTTTTTAGATGGTGGAATTAAAGATGATTTTAATTTCTATTTTTTGCTCCTCTGTATTTTTTTTGTCATGAATGTGTAATGTCTACGTGATAACGATTAAACAAAAGTAGTTTAAGCAAATGATGGGTCTCAAAACTGCTAGTAGGTAAGCAGTACCAAGGGGGTCTAGATGGTGAGAAGAGTGTATGGATACAACTACAGTGACCTTGGGAATTTTCTCCCTCCTGTCAGGTGGATATCCTAGAAGTGGGTGTGGGGAGGGGAAACCCCTGGGGAGGAGAAACCCCTGTGCTGTGCTGCACTGTGCAATGTCTTGCCTCTGCACTGTGCAATGTCTTGCACACACGACCTCTTCCAGGAGCCTCCACCCTCTTTGTCCACTAGATCGGGGGGGGGGGAGCAGACGGTGTGCTTAGAGTCTGATCTCAGTCCTCAGTCAGAAGGTCACAGCAGCAGCTGCCCCAGCAGCACAATGCAGAAGCACCCCAGGGAACAGGAGGCCAGCTTCCCTCACAAAGGCAAGGGGCAAAGCAGGACAGAAA